CTATCATATGAATAACATCTTATTAGCTTTTTGCAGGCACTTTAAACTTGGAAAGAACACAAGTCTGGGTAAAAAGTAACTTGTGTTTGGTCTGGAGATAATATAAAAGCATGACAAAAATAAACACTGTCACCTTTAACCATCTTTTGATCTTTGTCACCGTAGCAAAGGTTAATACTTTCTCCATATGACAATGATCATTATCTGCTGTCCTCAAGTGGTTCCTGTCAAAAACAGCACTTGCCAGGGCACACTGCTTTACTCATTAGGATTATATTGATATTTATTTAATTCACTTGCAACCCTGACTTTTCTACCCACCATCAGACTCATTCACGTTTAACAGTGAGCAAGGAATTACTTTTTTTCAAGCCAAACTGAAATACATATGTCTACAATGGTTTCAGTCTAAAAGATTCTCCCACAATCATTTTCTATTAAGTACGTCAGATGCGGTTCCATCTACCCACGGCTTTTTGTAACATCTCTAATAATGGGAAACTCAGAAATGTTGGACCTTGAGGCTGTGGTGGTGAAGTACTTGAAAGCTGCAGACTGTGAAGTGCAGCATGGAGACCTTTTAGGAACCTCAGCCTAAGTACTTGTGCAAAGTGCCCGACATGAAATTCAGGCTCCCTTACCTCTGTTCTGCGTGCAGTAACGGAAACCTGGGCAAAAGCATTCTGAAAATGTGCCCTTGGGGTACTGCCCTCCCAGCCTTGTAATATGCGCCTTCCTGTCGATATGAAGCGTTAGCAGCATAAAAAACAGTATGAACACACACTAAATTTGGAGCTGTGTTGTCCAGTGCTGAGACTCTCAAAGAGGTATCCCACATCCCATAGAAATACTCAGAAGGCACATTTTCTGCTGAAAGCACAGAATTTCATTTACTCTGCCAAGAGATGTAGAAAGCTGCAAAACTGAAGATGTTATTTCCTTTTTGCTATAATGCCCATCTTGTTCACCCAAAGTCTATTCTCAACTAATTATATCTCACAGCCAAATGCTGAAATAGAAGAAAACATGAACAATGGATGACAAATTTGAAGACTCATCTTAAACAAATTTTCCTTTCATTGGTCTATCTATAGGGAAAACTGGACATACGACGTTTAACTGCAAGCACTTAAAATATCCAGGACAGCACTCTCAGCTGGGAGCAAACACAGATAAGACTTTTTCAAGATAAGCCAAACATTACTTCTATGTAAAAAAAAAAAAAAAAAAAAAAGATACTTAAATTCCCTATCTGAAGATCAAAAAGATGGAGTGACCACAAAGCAGTCAGATGAAAAAACTTGTTTTGTATGAGTCTCAATGCAAACGTCCTTGTAAAGGAATTTTTTTTTTAAAAACGACCTGCTGCTGCAACTTAATAAAAAATCTTGAGTTAAAAATTAATAATCCAGTTTGAAGAATTCCAGTAGCTTTGCCCAAGATGCAATTAGCTTTCAGGATTAGTATTACCTTCTTTTTCCCTACAAAGGGAGCAACATCCATGTTTTTCTCCATATTTCAAATGATTGCTTTCATTCAGAGTAGAAATCTTAATATTGTGGAAGATTTTACCACAGGAAAGAAGAAAACATACGGCAGAAGCTGATGAAGCTAAACCCACTCAGGCATCATCTCCTATTAGCAGGTAAACTATTTTCAAGTATTTGAAACGTACCAGTGTAACGTCTATCACTGTCAGTACCTGCTTCTATCAGAATTTTTTTCCTGAAAATCAGTGGCACAAATTCACAAGCTAACCCATAACCCCGCAGTACTGGCTATGGAATAAAACGAATCCAGATTTACATAGCTGGGGAGGAAGATGCTGGGTCTGCAAGACAGAAAGGTACAAAAATATCTCGTGTATATACTGCAGGTCGTGAATGTGATAAGGACATAGTTTTAATAGCACTTGTAAAGGAAAGTTACAAATTTTAACTATTCTTAGCAGTTTCAAATGGTTTCAAGAAAAAGAGGGGGAAAACCACCAGCCTCTTTGCAATGTCTATTTCAGTTTGGAATAATGCTTCCTTTGCAAAACACTATTAAAAAGAGTCAGTTTTTCCGTGTTATTTGCAGATTTCTGTCACCAAACTAAAAACCTCTTTTTGCCACTTGAGGACTTCGTCTATATATCGATATATTTAGGCAAGTCTCTGTCAGCGTCCACTTAATACACAGCGTCGTCTTCTCTTTCAAAAAAAGAGACTGTACCGGGTGAAGGGAAGGTGACCTTCAGTGGCTACGAATTTCCACCCTGTCTCCCAACAGGAAAATATCGTTACCATTGCTTCCATAAAGCTAACCAAGAAATGAAATCCAGCAGGGGAATCCCAGGAATCACTAGGAAAGCAGCTGCGCCAGTGATACCTCCAAAGTGCCCAGGAATGGAATATGTGTATACCCCCGAGCCAGCCGTCCTTCACTCCAGACCCACACTGAAAAAAAAGGTGACAGCCTCTTTTATTAACACCACTCTTAAGATAACTAATATTGAATTGAAAGAAAAGATCGGACAGCTAAAGAGATAATAGTTTGATCGCATAAGATGCCAGGCCCTTCAGCTCTAGCCCCTGTCAAGTTAACACAGTCATATGAAAAACCACTACATACCCAAAAATGGGAGAACTTGGCAGAATCAGGGCCAGAGCACTTAGCATCTTGCAGGACTAACCCTGGCAACATGACAGTAACACTGAATACCTAATGACAAAGAAAACCAAACACCCAAAGTTCACAACATTTTTTAGATCTCAAGGTCCAGTCGCGGCAGCCCGTAAGCAGCAGTCATGCAACACGGACATGCAATGCTTTCCACAGTGGGGCTGGGGGAGGCGAGGGTCCTGCACTGTACTCTGACACAGTGGCATGGCTCACAGCTAAAAGCAGAGGTCCAGGCTGCATGGCTCACTGTTATGATCTCTCATGCCACATCCCATGCCTTAAGGCACTGCCTTTTAAACGGTCTGGACCTCTGCTGTTTGTTCTGCCTGTTTTAAAAAAGCAAGTCAACTTCCTATTCATTCCTAGATAGCTTTGATACCTGGTCTCACGGATTTGCTAAGAGATTGGGAATAAAAACAAGAAAATCTTAAAATCCAAATAAAGCCATTTTTAGCAGATGCTTTAAGATCTACAGAAAGAATAACGCCATTAACTTTTTGTTATTAATTTAAAAAGAAATGTTGAATTGACCTTTCACAACAGAATGAACAATGTTAGCCTATCATTGAGGGGCAACCAGAAACACACCTGCAACTTTTTTCTTCATCACTGACAGTTTCATATTTATTCATTTAAATCCTCCATTTAGACACAACAGCAGTAATAAAATAACTGTACACTACTTCTGTTACAAATATAGATACCATTTGAAGTGACTTTACATACTCTAATGTAGGCATTTCTCACTCTAAGCCAGGAATAAGTACAGAAGACCAATTCATCACCAACAGCCTCTAGCAATGGTATCATCTGTTTTCTTTTGTCTTAACCTATCACAGTGTAACGTCTAGAACAGTTAACGAGACAAAGCGGTTTTTTTTTTTTTTTTTTTTAACTCCGGGAGAGAAAACAAAGAAGAAAAAGGCCAAGCTTTGAAGCGTTCAGCTGGCCGAGCAGCTTTGCCAGCTTTCTACTTCCGTCGGCTGTCGCACGCCACACTGAGGTATGCTCCGCGCTGCCCGAAGAGCCCTTGTTTCCATAGAGTAGAGAGAAAAAGGGTTTTTTTTTTTTTTTTTTAGTTAATCCACTTAGATCTAGCTAGCACTTTGCTAACACTATTTCACAGGCATTCCTAATACTGTTTTTATCTGCCACTAAAACGAATGCTAGTCTTCTGTGTTTTCCATACTCATATAATAATGGCCTGACCCATTTCCTACATTTTGAGTTCAGTAATTTATCTTAAATGACAGCTGACATGCTGGCCTTCTCGCTACAATGTTTTTGCTAATCAACACAAAGGGCCTTGCTGCTACAAGGATATATATGTATAGCATGCTAATTAGCTATCTGTCTTTCTCCTTCAAACATTTTAATGGAATTTTTCTGTAGGAAGGTAAATCATGGGCAAAATGTGCATTAGCTGCCAGATTCATAAAAGCTGAAGGGCTTCCTGCCAAAGCAGCAGGGGCAAAGCTAGGGGGCTCAGTGAGCAAGATTTGGGGAAAATATTTTAGTGAGGATCCCAACTTCTCAGGAAGCTGAGGACGTTGATAACATCTACTGATTGACCACAGTGATGCCCAAAGAACAACCCTACGACTGCATCTTACTTACCAGACACTATCTTACATATTTTTATCAGATAAAATAATAATCCAAAAATCGTATCTGTGGCTCTAGATCCCCCTTTTCAGCTTGATTCCTGATGCTGACGCAGGAAGACCTTCCACCACTCTCTTGCTCACAGCCCCCCTCTGCTGCGAGGCGTCTCCAGCTCTCTGCCCACCTCCAGCTACTAGTTTTAGCCCTCCTCATTCAGGGACAGCTCTAGCTTCGCTGCTACTTACAGCTATAACACTAATTTCTTCCACCTTGGTTTAATGAATATCTGCAAGGCTCTCAACGTAGCAAAGGAAACCTGCCCTGAGTGGTTTCTTCATGGTTCTGCTTCAAGCAGCTCTCAGAAACTTCTGCGCCGAGACTGAATTCATCTTGCATGCTGGAAAAGGATAGCCTTCACTTGCACACATTTCACATTGGGAAGGTTACTTGCAGACCCACAGAGGCTAGCAAATACTACTGTGATAAAAGGAAAGTCTAAATCCTTCTAATACTGCAGTTGCTGGGCACACTCATTCACCAGGGACAGCTTCCACTGACGAACAGATTTTGCAACCCTGAGCACAATTCCCCTCCCTTTCAAACACCTCTGGTTTTCCCCCTGCCTGCTCCCCTCCTCAACCCACCAAACCTAAGGGAAACTAAAAAAAGAGTTTCCTTTTTTTTTGAACACACCATTGACTTAGGAAACTGGAAAAAAGATACAAAAAATAATACAAAACAAACAGAAAACTCAAGTCTTCCTCCCAGCTCCTTCAATTTGGGTGCTATGAAATAATGCAAATAATCATCTAAATTACTGGATCGTTTAGCCTCCAGGTTACCTACTTTTCCTTCTCCTCCAAAACTTTCCTATTTTGTCAATAATTTCTTTCTCCAATAACCATATTTCTGTTGTTTGACTATTCTTGCCACTGCCATCCCCTTGTTGACTTGATGACTTCATTTTATCCAAATATTTCCCATATATTGCAAATATTCAAAGCCTCCGAGCAAAACATTCCACTCTTCCTGTGCGGTTATTAAATCAAACAATTTTTTTTTTTGGTGGATCATAAGTGGTTATCATAATAGTACTAGGAAAAAATATCCACGTCTTTACCATAGTTGTGAGACTATAGTACTCCATCCCAGTGCTTTGACACTAAGACAAATACTTCTATCATATACAAAAATAAGATTAAATGTTATTTTTCTTCAGTGAAGTAACACGGTTCTGTGAAGCTGGAAGAACGAGAAGGCTATATAAACATTTCCATCCTCTTTGCTATGCGGAATGTAAATAGTATGGTCTTGTTGACCCTACTCCTCTGGGCAGCTGGTTCACGACAAAACAGTTAGAGTGACTGTTCCTTTTGTCCTTTTTAAAATAGCAACCGCTTCCTCATGGGTCACCCCTTCTAAACTCTGCCCATTCACAGCAATGATTTGATCCCCCCTCTTCAGGCGTCCATCTTCTGCAGCTGCACCCTGCAATGATACAACACGTAATTGCAGACTCATGCATCTCTCTTTCTCCCTGCCATATTGACCTTTTGCTCTTAATATGATGGATTTGGTGCCCTTAAGCCTTTCTGGTTTTCTGTGACCCTGTGCTATTGACTACAGTCAATAGCAGCACAGTTTGTATGCTCTGCAGTATGCCCTGCCTTCTCTAAGTTGAATCACATGTAGAAGTTGTATCTATAAGACCTTCACACTCCTACAACCCTCCTGGTCTAACTAGTATGACTTTTAAGTTCCGGAATCGTAATAGTAAGTTTTTTCAAGACCTGACAAATTTTTCAGCAACCAGTATTAGAAATTTGGTAATCAAACCCAGCCCTGTACTTTGGCTTACCACAGAAGTCTGGGGTACTTGACTCCATTTTCACTGACTCAGAACTGTCTCCTAGGCAGTCCAAGCTATCAAATCCAGGTCAGGACCTGATCTTCCCCAAAAGCCAGGACTGAGCTCTACTATTTTGTCTTCACCTACCTTTCAGACCCTTAGTCAAAATAAATAAAAGAATCCCTTCTGCTACCTGAAGACTGTACGAACCCAACACAAGGTATGTGGCTATTTTTCAAAGTATGGACATAGCTCCAGCTTCTGAAAGTTGAAACAGATTCTGCCCTATACAATGTGGAAATTCTGAATCTTACCTCAACTGTAGCCTTCAAACAGCGCAAATACGTTTTGAACAGTACTTGCATTAGCAAAGGAAAGCAGTGATAAACCGTTAACAAGTTTGGCTTCAAAGGCCATGCTTTAAGAAATTGGCTGCTGAGAACGGACTAAAAAGTGGCTTAACTGAACAAATTTACGCTCAGTCACTTACCTTTGCAAATACTGTCTTCACATAAATGGGCAAATCTCCATGGGGACTGCCATATCCCCCCACAATACTAAAGCCTAGGCCGTCTGGTCCTCGATCCAGAGTAATGGTCTTGTACTGAGGAGGTCTAAAAAAAAGAAAGAACAGCACTTCTGCATTCTCTTAATTTAAGATTAAACATGTAGAATATTCAACATGATACATTTTTCCTTTCAAGTTAAACAATACATTTTGCTTTCCACTGTAACTACAAACATCTTAATTGCAATGTAAGGGACATCTTAGCTCATGTAAAATACTAATTCTGTCCAATGCTGTCATTTAGCCAGTTATTTCACACGAACTCCTTTCACACCTTTTCCGCCCAGCTCACAGCACAGTTACTGCTGGCCAGGTTCCTTTAGCAGTGCTCACTAGCCGCATACAGAGGCAATACCAGTATCTCAGACCTCAAAGAACAGACGGTACGATCCATAAAAAACAATTACTTCAAATATCCCGTAACTTGTAACACTTCCTAAAAGAAGTCTAAAAATAGCCACAGTAGCTATTTTGCAAGGTATTAATTGCTCCTCTCCTCCTCTGATATATGTCTGTATATTTGTATATTTGTGTTATTACAGACCATTTACAGGCATAATATATTTCCATAAACATGCTTTGACTGCAAGAACCTCTTAGAGTTCTATTTTCTAAGGTATGTTTGTGTGACTAAAGAACCCCATTCTCTCTTTTCCTATTCCTGAAAGAAAAATGCCTCAGATTTATCACAGAGTTTGAGGCAAAATTTGCTGAGCAACAGCAAGAGCTGTGCCTTGCAGAATACCAGACGATGTCAGTTACAAGTTACACGTTTCTGATGGTCTGGTGCTAGAAAGCACAGTGTGGAAACACAGGTACCGCTCTGGCTAGGACTTTGATATTGAGGTTGGAGAACAATCATATTGGGTGAAACAGTCAATCTCAGCTACGAAGGCACAGCACAAGGAAGAGGCTGTATTTCTGGAGAAGAAATCAAATCACGTTATAACTCTACAGAGGGGCAAAAAAGCAGCACAGCGAATTGTCTCACGAAAAAAATGCAAAACCGGACGGGTGACCTAGGAGTGCCATGTATACCAAGTGTGTCAGTCATGATTAAGTTAAACAATTAATTCGTAATCTGTTAGAATTTGTAAGTATTTTAGGTGGGGTCCCACTGAAAATAACAGGCAACATGGGTTGCATATCAGACAGTCACTCACCCTAAATCATCCTGAAAAATGCTGGTCGAAGTTAGCCCTGTAAATGAAAGACTGGATGTAGGTGGATCCTGCTGCTGGCCAGTTATGACACTCACGTCCCCTCCAGCTACAACCTAGGAACAGAGATCATACACCGGTAGAATGAGAATGCTGATCCTCAGACAACTCATTGCAGCAGGCGGCAAAACGATGTTCAGAAAATTACAGTTATCATAACTTGCCTCATTTCTTACACAAAAAAGAAAATTTGCTAAAATTCTGGGGGGGGAAAGTACGCATTGCGAACCCACTGCCTCTCCTACATTTTCTTGCAAATAAAGAATTTTCTTTCCACAACGAATATTGCACACATCACTGAATTTTTTTTACCTGCAACTCAACAGTGCCCGAAGCATTCTTCAAGAGACTAACGGCTTGGGAGTGGGTCATGCCCTCGGTAGACGTTCCACAGATGCTAACAATCCTGTCCCCAACCTGCAGAAGGAAAAGTTAGTTACACAGCGTTACTTGTTACTTTTCTTAAACAATATCAGATCTGAATACATGGATTTAGCTGGTTTTTATCAGCAGTGTAAGACATGAAGAAAGAAGTTAGCAGTTGTTCACGGTGTATTTTCTCTCTAAGGCACAAAGTCTTTGAGCCACAGTATAAGGTGATACACAGGTATAAAATTTGATGTCATAATCATAAAATTATATTAGTTTAGTGTAATTTATTCTTTTCAGTTTAAAAAAACTAATGATTCTTTACTGAATTTATCCTAATATTTGAGAAACATAAGAGTATGTAGAAAACAGAAGTCCAGTTTGTCCATCACTTGAAGACAGACAGACAGGCTGAAGCAGCAGACACAGGCTGAAGCAGCAGATTAATCAGATTAATCAGAGATTACGTGTTCAAACTCATCTTGAAATGATCCCTTCATTTCCCACGCAGTATGACTCAAATTCAGTAACAAAAAAGCAAACCGGCCTCTGGTATAGATTGAATATAGTACACATTTAAGTGCTGTGTTAGATAAAACAGCAATTCACCTCCCATTTTAACTCTATCTCTGTCCTAAAACAGTCAAGTATGGAAAACATGAAATATAGAACAGAGCACATACGTGCAGCTGCAGGACTTACCACCATGCTAATCATTGGAGCTTATTTACAGAACCTATTGTCCTGAACCCAACCTCCTACTTTGGATTCTGAAAACCTTACTAGCTCTGAGATCTGACATTGCTCTAGGACTTCTTTCCCATGCTAATACCTTTTACAAATTACCCTTCAGCACACCACCAACCTGAGTTACTGTACTGTCAACCTAAACAGCAAAAATTGTTGTTACAGTCAGAAGCACTCATATACCATCTTTTGATAATCTTGTGCATTTCCAGTGCAATCTTCACAAACCCCTTAACAATTAACTTACTCTGAGTTTCTGAGTCTGCGCTGCAACTCCATTTGGATGCATCATGGCAATAAAAATAGGGACATCTCCAAGAGGACTCCCTACACCTCCAGCAATGCTCACGCCAAGTGAGTCTGCAGGGCCCTGTTATAACCATGAAAAAGAATTAGATCTGTCTGAGAAGAAAAATATATGAATAGAATCTGTAGGCTCAACTCAAAAAAATTCCAAATTCCCTATCCCCTATCTTCCAAAAATCACAATGCTTATGTCTCAAGCTACTGAAGTTAATGAATTTTGCTCCTACTGGGAAAGCAGAAAGAGCACAAAATATTTTCTTTTCCTATCAGCTGCAGGTGAAAATTTGCTAACACAAGTCAGCCGCAGATCCATAAGGTATAGAGAGCAACAATAAAGGGACAGATTAGATTACGTGATCTTTATTAACAACCCCCTATCATGAACCACCCAAAGATTAGAACTAACCTTTATGCTCCCCCTAGTGTCTCACGGTTGAAGTACAAAAATAGTCATTATTTTATTACAGTGCAATACTCCACTACCTATGAACAAAAGTCACCATCATAAAGTGGAATTACTGGCAAATTCTGCTTTGAGAAGAGAATTTCTAAATATAAGCTACATAATCAAAGAAACTAGATGACACAAAGCCAAATAAATACATTTTGGACAACTAGAAACAATCTCTGACTTAAATCTTCTGCTCCTGAAAATGAGTAAGTCAATTGAATGTCCCTGTTGAAAACCTGCTGAGAATCAAAACGAGTCTCCTAATTCACACATCAATTATTTTTTGAATCAATAGCACAGAAAAAAACAGCTCTTGTACAGGTACCTAAAAGGTACGCAATGAGAAAAATACGGAATCTAAAACAATGAGCTTGCAACCCTAATACAGTTCCTTTGGCTTCACTAAAACTGAGTCCGGATTTAACCTAATCTGAGATCACCTAGGGGTCACACAGTTTTGACCTGAAGTGACTAAAAGGCTCACATTTCTAACCTTATGTAAACAAATCTATTTACAATACTTACAGAACATGTTCATGATAGATACCATTTAATATTTATATTGCAGCTTACCTTTTTTATTTCAACTGCTCTCAATCCCTGTATTTCAGAAGCTGCTGTCAAATAAATTCCAAAAATACAAGTTAAACTAGTCTTTTAAGGAAGCTTTTCCATGAAAGCCATCCAAACCACTATGATGAGTCTAACTTTTGCTAGCTTATTACAGACACATGTAGATGTTTTAAACAGATTTTGGAAGTGGCTGTCATTACATTAACAGAATTGAAATACTTCTAGGATGGATGAAAAAAAGGTCATTCATTTATTCGCTCAATTTAAATAACTTCTGGAAAAAGACTGCCAAGAATGCGCAAATAAAACAGAAAAACTACTTCAAGCAAAACTTGGGTTGAGAGTAACTTCGTTTTAAATTTGAGCACCAGAAAACAAACCCACATCTATCCTAATATGCAGTAATCTATCCTAATAACTACACAGTAATAGCAACTGGCCACAGATTTCCATGCATGATACAGCTCAACTGAAGACATATTTAGATTAAAGAGAAATTTCTGGTTCAACTTACATTCTCACCATCTAAACTGCTGGTGTGACAAGCTGCTGGTTTCTTCTATAAAAGGCTATTTAAAGGTAAATAACATGTACAATAACCATCCCCACCGTATTTTAAAGACTAAGGAATTACTTTCAGACCCACAGCACACAATGACAATGTTTCAGACTAAGCAAACGATCTCAGCTACAAATTCACAGGTATCAAACAGTGAAAGCAGCAAAGGAATCTTACTGGTGGTATTCTTCTTCAGACCACTTTCGAAGACCTCAGGTGCACTGGAACCAGAAACTGGGAAACTGAACGATGAGAGGCTGCCACTTCCTTCACTGACCTAAATATAGTGTTACACTGGGATTAGACAGCAGCCTCAGATTCCCAATTTGCTAGAAAGTGAAACTATAATCTCCCATCTTCAGCTATTTTACTACGTTTTCTGTGCCCAGTTAAAAGCTGACACACTACACCTCCACTTATTTTTAGGGCATTCTAGAAGGCTCTTTGTTTAAAATATGTCATTAGACCAACAGAGGTTGGATGGCTAAATGCCCACCCAAGACTCTGAAGTTCTGCTTCTGAGGGTCAGATTGTGACCTTCGTTTTGCACCTTCCAGCACTTTGAAAGGATTTTCTGGCACAAAAGTTAGCCACAATTATCAAGGTAGGAACAGAATACAGAAGACAGACAAATAAAACATTTATGTGTTCTCATGTGCACTCCTGCATTCCCCCAGGCACTCCATCAACTACCAGATTCTCCATCGATCTACACGTGCACAATTTCCAGAAAGAATTTTGGTACGCTCAGGAATCAATTTAAAGAAACAATGTGGCTCACGCTGTGTCTAATTCATTGACTGTGGTATTGATTCTTCGAAACACTCATCATTGTGAGCTTTTTCTAATTTAACAGTGCGGATTAAGACCCTACAGAGCCTACATCTTTTCATCTTGATTGCCATTACCCTTTTTGAAGAGAATCTAACGTTTCAGCCCTTATCCAGTCTTAACCCGTTTAACTTGAAACTCCAGAAGGAAAAGGTCTCTTTGCTTAATTATGACTGGAGATAGATAGATAAATTATTTAAGTTCATCTTCACCCCTCTACGATCTGCCTACCCAGTTTACAACCAGAGCAGTTCTAAGGTGGGTTGTGAGCTCTTCAGAAATACAGCTCCTACTGGAAACCCTGGGACTTGCATCAGCAGAGAACCACAACGTGAGCTGCTCTATCGCATCAAGGACACAGTCAGATGCAGAAACTGATGGAAGTTCATAACACTAATTGCCTAATGACAATCCAATTGTCTAATGACAATTAGACTTGAACATTGTTCAAGTTTATTGGAGAAGCCTGGTTAAAGGGTGCAAGTTTGCTGCTTTTGGTGACTAAGACTGCGGTAAAAATACGAAGGCAGGGGAGAAGTTCACTTAGTTTTCGGAAGCAACATTCCCTTACAGCAGAGGCACTTGTAAAGCAACCAAGAGTCTTAAAGCCCAGTCCAAGTTCTGCTGATATCCATGAGAATCAGAGTTCTCTCCACTTCCCAGGATGCAGCCTTAAAAATCATACTTAGGCAACACAGCAAAACCACTTCTGGAAAAATTTTTTGGCTGCATCATGTCTTTAACAGATACAGTATGCGAAAGTGAATGTATATAATGGCTACCGGAAAGCTGTGAAGTACATAAAAGCTCCTACATTTATCCATCTTGGATCGGGTAGGTGGAAAATCATTGTCATCACAAAAATCAGTTCTTTTTATTTGCTTTCATTATTTAACCACATTTGATTTCTTCCAAACTAAACAGTTTTACAGTTACAAACCTGGCTGCTCTGGGATGTTCTCCTCTCAGAATGGAACGGACCAGCTTTTATTCTTCCGACCTCTAGTCTTACTGTACCTAATGAACACTAAAGAACCAGTAATTTATAATGTGTCTCTTCTAACTACAGGAGTCCCATTAAAGCATATTTCAATATTTAAGTCACTTATTAGATGACGGAAGAAGAAAAATTATGGGTAGAAGGGAAAATACAGGCCTAACAACCCTGCAATGAGCACCGAGTTCACGGCAGGATCAGAGCCATACCAGCTAGGTGCAGCGTCATAGTCAATGCAGAGAGGGTATATTCTGGATTAACCAATATTACAATACAGTCATGAAAACTATGGAGGAGCCTACTTCTGTTGCCTTTCACTTAAATGGGAGAAGTATTGACTTCTAAAGCGTAATGTCAATATATATTTTCAAGATACCATTTTTTAAAGATTATTAGAAGTGGGGCATCTTCAATGCAATCACTAAAAACAGTATAAAAACTCAAAGTATATCAACCGTTATTTCTGTTCAAATAGCTGAGAGCATGTTATTTAAACCGGTAGTTAGCCATCTTAGCCCTGTTATTGAAACTACCAGTTACTCCGGGGCTACACCAACATAAGTAATCAGTTTTTGAGTAGGAGGTTTTCCAAACATCCACCTGTAGTTTAACTGCCCTTTTTATACCTGATTCCCAGCAGGAAGTTCAGCGAGACGAATTGTTTGCACATTGGCAAATCCTTCCATTACTCTTTGAGACTTTAATTATAGGATTAAGTATTTACATGGCTGCATGAAATTAGTATCTCAGAAGAAAATTCACCATGGAATCAAGTATTTAGAAACCAAGACATTGAGTTGATTTTGGAAACAGACAGATACGTAATTATCACAAACCACATTTAAAAATCTGGACTTCTGAAATAATACAAGGAGTTAGAAGTGTCAAAACAAGAACAACTATCTGCAATATATTCAAATACAGAAATGCCAACGTTTTATTACTATTTTGCTTTTCCTTCTTTCTTCCACTGGGCAGTTGTTAATATGGACTCCGTTATCCATGCAGCCAAACAACGTAATATTACAGAAGTTTGTATGTATTTATCGTGCTTTAGTTGTATTAAAGCTAAGAAGGGGTCATGCTTTTATCAGAAAATTCACAGTAAGAAACAGACCAATATATCAAAATCAAGCCATTTAAATAACATTTCCATACCTTGTAACTAGCATAACCAGTTATTGTTCTCTTAGGGATGACACTAAGAAGAGATTTATTACCAAATCGTTCCTTATGTTTTCAAATAATGTTGACTTCTTTTATATTCTGGGACAGATCTCATCAGGGCTCAGTCCAAAGCAGTCTTTCCTACTGCTATGCACTGACTCATATCAGACTATATGGACCGTTCTTGTCCAAAATGGAAAGCTCAGGAGGCAGTTTACGTACGTAAATTTTTCACATCCTCACATAAAATGCAAACCCACAAACGAGACCAAAGAGTCATTATATGTGAAACTGGGAGGTAATACTATCCAACTGAACTTGTGAATAAATCAATTCATATTCAATTTTATTTAAGACTTCCTTTCTCTTCCCCAAATCTCACATTTGATAAATCATCAAGTCAAATGAGAGAAAAGAACGATAAGCTTTTCACACGTTGTAGGGATATTTAAAAATAAAAACTGCAAGAACAGGAAGAATTTTAAGCCTGAGGACACTTTCTGGTGGACTCACACTAGCTAAAATACATTTGGATGTTCCAAAGACTCTAGGTAACTTTCCGAAACAATTTATTTCAGCTAACACAATGTATTTCAGGAAATTCAAGACAATGCTCTCCTAGATCTTACTCTTGTGGATGAAAACAGAACTGACCCCTGAATTAAAAATGGTGACTACCTACATGTGAGAGATCAGGCCTCACTACATTTACACTTCATGAAGTAAATAGAACCTTTACTAGTGATACAGGAAAGGTATTTTAAAAACTTTTTTTCTCAGAGCTAGGATAATTAATTACAAGCAATACTGAGTAAGATGAAGTATTTAAACCTTTAAAATATGAATGGTAAGTGGGAACCAACCCTCACCAACTGACACAAACGAAGGAAACTTTCTAAATAAAACAGTAATTAGGAAGAGATATAAAAGCACAGTATATGAAGAAATATGTCCTTAGATGCCTAAGGAAAGTATCAGGTAGGAATGGAAAAGTACTGTTGCCCCAGAAGAGTATATAACTGAGTTCACTGCCTGAGAACACATCCAGTTCTGGCATTCTCACTAATGGGCACATGCTGAAAATACAGGAAAACTGTTCCAAAAAACCAAAATCCCTCAGGAACTGTTCAAGGCCTGGAAAAATCTGCCTTCTAATGTGAGCGCAAAGAAGCATGATCTTGTCTATGCATCCAAGAGTCAGCTATGAGCAGTGTCTGTTAAAAATTTTCCAGTACTACATTTTTCCATTGGAAAATGCCAAAAAGGAATGCCTCAAAGCACTAGCTGGAAAACAGACGTGCCGGCTGACCATCTGGACTTCCTGCCAGACCACAGGAAATTCTGTATTTCTGACTTCACTTGGATTTGGAAATCGGGAGAGGAGATCAGAAATGCAAAATTCCTTGCGAAGAGAAATTCTCGTTCCTGAGCAGCTACAGATCTGAGGTTACTTCAGTTATCTTTGTGGGAAAGTGCTTTCTGACACTAGATGACTAGTTCACTGGAAAACATACTGTAGAATTCAACAGCTGTAAGGTAACACTACATGTACACAAGAGAAATTAGATGCACATTATTAACTGTGAAAATATCACTTATTGGGACAACAAACCTGATGAATTCTTCATCATTTAAGTAAATTCTAAATATCCTTCTAAAATGTGAGCTACTTAACCAGTTAACAGCTTGTTGGAGAACTATACAGTTAGATTTTAGATTGATCTAGGTAACAGCGCCTTATAGCCCTCTTTTGCCATCTCTATTCCCAGTTTCATTAGGAAAATTATTAAAATCTGAATGCTTCAACCTTAAGCAAGCCTAAATTTGGAAACAAAGTTCATTCCTACTGCCATTTCAGTAACAGTCTGAATACACTCTGATTAAAACTTAAGCTTTCAGAAAATCTGGATCCCAACTTTCATCTACTTCCAGTTTCACTGATACCTTTAGCAAAGCTGCAACAGCCTCCTGGTTAGCATTTCGAACATCTTCTCCATTCACTGTCAATATCTGGTCTCCTTGCATCAATCTCCCGTCCGTATCTGCTATTCCTCCTTTGACGATGTCAGACACAAACACCCCTGTATCATTTCTGCAAACACATACATGTATTCTGCATTACAGTAGTGCTGAAAGGCCATTTTCATTCTCTAAGTTCTTAGGGCTCCTGCTTTCAAATGAGAATACGATGTCGTCTCATTTTTGCACTCAGTAATGTCTGGATAGCTCCTGCAGGAAAGGTCAATTAGCTCGGGCGAAAAATTAGCCTGAGACAGATGCACTGCCTTCAGACTTAAAGAATCTGAGCACTGCACCACAATGGAGAGTACAAGCGTGCCCACCAAGTCCCCGAAAAACACCCTCCATGCCCATTCATACCTTTTCCCAACTATACTCAGTCCAAGGCCTTTGCCAGGCTTCTTCTGCAGCTCTATATTGAGTACATCATACATATCCTCCTCTTTGTACTGGGCCTCATCTCTGTATACAGTTAGACGAACTTTTTGGGGCGTCTGTCTGAGGACGTTTATCGCTTCATCATGTGTGGCATTACTGAGGTCAATCCCATAATTTAAGCATACACTGATAAACCATGCAGGGCTTTCCAACATACAAACAGAAGTTGTGTAATTAGTTAATGACAATAAATAGGGACCAAAAAAACCACCGCACCTCTAATATCTGATCCCCAGCCCACAATCTCCCATCTTTAGATGCCGCTCCTTCTTCATATACTTCATGGATAATGATTGCTCCCTGTGGAGAAATAACAAAAAGGCACTGCATGCTGCAAGAACATCTACTTTGAGCACTGCAAGTATACTATGCCCCTACTTCGAAACAAGACCTATTGAAAAATGCTACTGCAATTAACCAAGGCGTGACAAACCAAGCAGTTAAATGAATGATGATCAAATTACCAAAATATTTAAGAAGGTCACTTCTATTTTCAATTAAAATTTGTTTGTTTGTTTGTTTGTTTGTTTTCCTGAGATGGTCTCTTTGGTATCTTTCTATAAATGTCAAAGGACCAAATGAAGACAAAATCTCTTCTATTAGATATTTTAACGTTATTTTTGCCATTTCACTGGAGGGACACAGATTTTTTTTCCAACCAACCAGCAAAGTGTCTGCTCCTCCAACAATGCTCAGACCAAGACCAGTCCGTCCTTTGGAGATATCAATGGTTGTTTCACATCCAGGGATGATGGGACACGTAGCTGGATCAGAAGCTAGTGTGGCTGGAGTTGAAGATCTGCTTGTGTCTAAAACAACAATTAAACACCCTGGTTACAGTACGAGGGCTTAACATCTGAAAGTGACTTCAAAAGAGTCCATTGACAGCTCAACCGCAATGGCTGACCTGCAGAATACTTTCTCATTTCAAAACACCCACATAACGATGCAGCTAATCATTCCCTTCCCCTCAGGCAAGTACTGTCCTGCAGTTTCAATTAGTTGCCCAGTTTTGATGCCATCGGCTACCCTGCTCTCAGTTTTGAGTTTACTGGGAAGATCAACTGTATTACATACAATGCCCTGTATTTGTACTGCCTAGCTCACTCTTATAATTTGGACAGCCAAAGGTGTATGGAATACACACAGCTTATATTAAGATACATTTTAATTTAAACATCTATTCCAGCAACGATGAAACACAGATCACTCATAAATGAAGCACATACTATACGTTAAACAAATATATGCAAGAATGTCACCCTTGCACTTAAATAATGGGTAAAGTCAAGGTGCATCTAACCAAATACTTTGTCTCTGACTTAAATCTGTACCATGTTTTTAGAAAAAGAATAATAAGCATGAGGCAAATAATATTTTCCAGTTCACGCACTCTGTGGTCAAGCCAAAGGATATATTTACATTATTAGATTTAGTGGCCCTCAACAAGGGCTTACCTATTTACATTAGCATGCCTGTCCACCCTTAACTCGCTTTTGAAAATTTACAGCTTTTGGAAGGAGCAAGTCTCACATTGTAAATATATATTCTCATGGTGTATATATATGTTGTGTTGAAAAGTTCCTCCTGACTTTGCAACTTACATTCTTATGCAGTAATTTATGTGTGATCATAAATAAGTTTAGCATATCTGGTATGTCATAAATGAACCTTCGGCATTTTTGGGGCAGTCCAAAGTTTTTGTCCAAAGACCAAAAAAAAAAGGCTAACAATACCAAGAGGGTTTGAAATTCTGTAATAATTAAAGCAAAGGATTAAATTAAAACACCTTATGTTTTAAGATAATCTCTACCACTGATATCATGCTTGATTTTAAAAAGAATACCTAAATTACTTTTTTCCGCAAGGTAAAATCAGGCATCTAAACCCATTTTAGGCATTTAAAACAAGGGTGCTGACTAAAAGAAGTTCCACTGAAACTGACGACTTGACCATTCAGAAATATACATTTATCCTAAAGAAGTACTTAGGCAGAGTGTGAGCAATAGGTCCTGCTGGAACAGTAAGCCTCAAAACTGGCCTCTGATGGAAACCAGAAGGGTGATGAAAATGATTCAAGGATAAATCTGTGTAAGGTTACTGCTAGCTCTGTTGCTCCAGTATGCAAGCTCTCTTTGCATAAGATGAGAAACTGCTAATGCTTAGCAGAATCAAGGCTAAAGTAAGGTAATTTTGTCCAAAAGACATACAACGTAAATCAAATGTAACCAGCATCAACCAAAGAGTTGGAGGGGAGCCTTGGGATACAAAGCGGCCCTTACCTAGTTAGCTGCATCAGTAGTACTATACTGGGCCAAAACCCGCTAGGTTTTGGTGTCGGCAACACCAAATTTGGGTACAGTTGTAGCAGAAATGGGATCAATGAGGAAAAAAGTAATTAGGGGTGGATTGTTTATTTGGAAAGAATCTGTTCAGAGAAAAGAAGGACCAGGGGTAGTGATAAGGGGGACTCACGAAAATGAAAAATGGGGATAAGGTATATAATCCGATGGAGAATAAAGGGGTGTGTGGCTGGGGGGTAAGTAGATTTTCAAACAGTAGGGCTGCGGATGCCTGGGTACACAAGGGGGAGCCCCTCTGGGCAACACACGGAACTCTTCATCAGGTCTGTGTCCAAAAGACTTGATGTGGCAGGGTGAAGTAAGAAGAGACACACTTTTAAGGAACTTTAATACTGAGTGAAGAAGGAAAGACAATAGAATTACAACTTAGTCGCTCTCATGCAATTTATAAGATTTCCTTATAGTAATGCAATTGTGTATCAATGCTACTACTAATAATACATAATAGAACCATTAGTAACCCGCACCTAGGGAGGAAGAACCCCATGCACCAGGACAGGCTGGGGACTGACCTGCTGGAAAGCAGCTCTGCAGAAAAGGACCTGGGCGTCCTGGTGGACAACAAGTTAAGCCTGAGCCAGCAATGTGCCCTTGTGGCCAAGAAGGCCAAGGGGATCCTGGGGTGCATTAGGCAGAGTGTTGCCAGCAGGTGGAGGGAGGTGATCCTGCCTGTCTACTCAGCCCTGGGGAGGCCTCCCCTGGAGTCCTGTGTCCAGTTCTGGGCTCCCCAGTACAAGAGAGACATGGCACTCCTGGAGAGAGTCCAGCGGAGGGCTACCAAGATGATTAGAGGGCTGGAGCACCTCTCAAGGGGGGGGGGTGTCGAGAGAATGAGGCCAATCTCTTCTCTGTGGTGCCCAGCAACAGGACAAGAGGCAACGGGCACAAACTGAACCACAGGGAAGTTCCACCTAAACCTGACGAAAAACTTCTTCACTGTGAGGGTGACAGAGCACTGGAACAGGTTGCCCAGAGAGGATGTGGAGTCTCCTTCGCTGGAGATATTCAAAACCCGTCCGGATGTGATCCTGGGAAATATGCTCTAGAGGACCCTGCTTGAGCAGGGGGGTTGGACTAGATGATCTCCAGAGGTCCCTTCCAACCTAAAAAATTCTGTGATTCTGTGATTCTGTAAGTAATAATCGTGGTGATATATATGTGAATTAATACTACGATGCACTTATTAATCATTTAAGATACTATTAGCTTCTTAGTGGTGTGTTGCTTTATCAATAAACATGATAACCATTGCAATCAGTCATGTCTCAAGTCTCCAGTCTAAAGGGGGAGAGTTGGACTTGGTCAGTAACATTCACGAAACAGTCTCACTCATTCCCTTGTTCCACATAGGATGATAGGACTTTTCTCACCACTCTAAAGGAAATGACTGCCACCTAATCCTAGACAACCATGGCATAGGCACTCACTGCACAGCTTTTGCGATGCAGGAGGAAACTCCTCCCTCCTTCCACCTCTGTAGCTGGCCTTACAGGCCTGTAGAGGTCTTAGGTGTGGAGCTTCATTACTTTATTTAGATTGATCTATATTCTAAAAGACAACTGAGTGCATACAAAGAGAAAAGAGGCATTTATAAGATGGGTCTTCATTTTTATCTTACAACCCTCACATGAAGCTAGACACGCATGGAGAAACCTTACTTCTGATGGCCTCTGGTTCTGGTGAGCCCGAAGTAGGGACAGTTGCTGACTGCTGGATACTCCTCCTCTCTGCTAAGGCAGTGCTGGCAGGGACTGCTGCTGCAGTCAGGCTATCCAGCTCTGCGGAGCTGATTGTAAGCTTCACAGTGGTTTTGGATGTCTTCAGGAGGCTGATAAACTGAACGATAAAGAGAACAGACGGTAAAGGGAGTAACTGGACTGTTCAGCTGTAAAACAAAGATCAGGTAGAAAAACTTTTCCAGAAACTGGAGCCAGGACTGCAGTCCTGCAGTTGTTCTAGGCAATGAACAAGGGTAAAAAATTATGTTTTCCATGATAAACAGCTACAGAGTTAATAGCCGTGGGCCAGACCTGACTAATGTTAATTCACTAGCTTCCATGAAACTACGCTACACTGAACTAGATGAGAATGCAGCAGTCTTTGGACAGCTTCTCTGCATGAAATATTATCTGTTTATAGTAATTAGCAGAAAAATTTGAAAACTACTATTAACCTCTAATGTTTGGGTGGAGCCCAATTCTGATCCCACTGAAGTCAATGCCAACACATCTATCAATTTAAATTAATGCAATATTATGCAAGCACCTTAATTAAACACACAGGTGGAAGAAAAACTTGAAAATATTATCTGAACGGCAAGAGAGAGAGAAGGATGCCTGGTTGTTAAACAGAACTGACAAAAACTCAAGGTCTACCTTTAGGAGAAGAAACTTTCAAAATGCATTGTCATCTCACAGGAAGGTATAAAATCCTCCCAGGCCTTCATCACATCAGCAGAATCAGAAAAATGATTTTTTTCAAAAATGACTCCTTACTCAATCACTCTGTTCCTTCTTCCAAACTCTACCCGCTTCCTTGCAAACAACTGCACTACCCCTTTGACACAGCAGCGCTCTAGAGAGCAAGATGGACGCTCTCCTAACCAGCCTTTAACAAACAGAAAATCATCTTCTCATATTAAATAATTACTTCTCTTGGTAGCAAGGGAGATTCCATAAAAAGCCCTCCTTGATACACTACAGAACCCTAGTTGAGTCGGCAGAGCTGGAAGTTAGAAATAAATCTTGTTATTTAGGAAAGGAGTTAAGTTTTCTCCAAAGAGCTGAAACATCTCACCTGGAAGATAACAAGGCCCCCATCACAATCACTCCCCATGCATAAGGACAGTTTGTGACTTAATATACCACTGATGCAATTTGCTCGTTTAAAATATACAAGTATTAATTTTACTGGTTCCAATACTTTTAAAGTGGGAAAGCCAGGAAGGGTCATCATTCAGCAATAATTCATGGCTTTTATTCCACAATTAGGTGTGTCTGATACACCAAATCTGAACTACAGGAAGAAATATACACAAAAAATGAAAAAGAAAAAAAAAAAGTAGCACGGAGCAAAACTAATCATGCAGTGAATTAATGAAAAATAGAAACTGAGCTTTCAATTCAGACTCCTATTCTCCAACAGTTTTTCTCATCCAGATAAAGGCTGTAGATCTTCACTGCTTTAGCCAGCTTTGAAAATGCAATCAAGAGTATAGCCATGGAAACCCTGGTTTTGTCCGAGTCAAAATCATTTCACGTAGTTAGGCGTTTAGTTTCTACAATATTCCTCATATCTCATATTCCACAATCACCTTTTCTATTGGATAGCCCACAACGACTTCATCATCCACTGCTAGGATTTGATCCCCGACTTTGATTCGTCCATCCTAGAAAACAAACAGAAAACAAAATATCAGCTGCGGATGCTACTCTAAACATTATTTTTCCTTCCTTATATGGACTTTAAATGGTCTCATACCTTTGCTGCTGCACCATGATCTGTTAAGCTCTTAATAACTACTCCATTAATTGTGTCTTCTTCACTAATGGCAATTCCCAATCCTCCTTGATCCTGGGGAAAACAGAAAAAAGAAGATAATTTGCATTTATCATTAGATAAACTTGCATTTAGATAAACTTGCAGTTATCAAAATGTTAGAACACACTCACTAAAGACCAGTGAAGCTCGAAGACATAGAAAAGGGTTTGGGTTTTCACAGTACCTCAATATTTTTACTGTAAGCTAATTTCTTTTTGAAGTAGCAATTTTTTCCAACCTACTAACAGCATACCTACTACCTAGATGTATCTGAAATACTTCTAAATTCAAATCCATTTAAATACTCAGAAACCTAGATCAACTGTGATTCAGCTGTTAAATTCATAAACAGGAGAAAAACACACAGCTTGGAAACTACAGACTGAAATAAACAGAATTTCATGATATTGCCTAGATATCTTATTTGAAACCACAGAAAAAATACCTATAGGAGTGGAAAATATAGAGGACGGAAAAAATGCATGCTCCTCCTATAAAATTAGGGCATGTTTGGGGCACAGTGAAATTTCTTTGGAACTTTTTTTCACCTAGAAATAAATCATCCGGGTACCACAACCTGTAACATCTAGTACAGCTTAATAAGGAAAGGCAAGATTACAAACTAACCAACAGTCTTAAAGTCACAACACTTCTGCCCACTGGACGGGACTGTCTTCTGGATGCCAATAAGCAGCAGTAGCAATTTTCCCACCCTCCTTTGGCCAGTTCATAATTACAGAACTTCTGGCCATCTTCTCTGAGAGGCATGATTTCTGTTACTGTGTATGTGTTAGCTCGGGGGATTTTGTGCTCATAATGTGCTAATTAATTTAGTCGGAACAACTCAGGCAACTGTTTTACCTGAGGCAGCATCAAGCAGGTGACAAACCACTAGAAAAACGTGGATGTATGTCACCGTATTAAACCAGTTCTGGTTAAACACAGGCCATCCTCTCTCGCGACACTGCAACCAATTTTTTGTTGTGGCCTGCCAGAAGTTTTGCAGCTAGTTCCAGAGGTGTCTTCTTCTCAAGACACACGGTAATTAGCAAATTGAAACAAAGTGCAGGAGCCTGAAGACAGTCTTTAGGTCAGGGAAGTTTGGCAGTCCATTCACGAACAGGAAGGGCAGATCCCTAGAAATCTCTGCTGTGACTTCGAGTAAGGAAAGGACAGAGTCTCTCTGTCTTAAGAGGGACTCCATTACACAGCAGCAAGCTGAGGGATACAACTGTGGATGATGTAAATTTAATTTTAAAAATGTACCTTAGGGAGTTCCACGTGCTGAATGTTTTTGTATGAACTAAAGTCAGCAAAAGCATTGACATTTGTAGCGCTGAGATCAGTCTGACAGAGAAAGAAAACAGAACTGTGAGCAGCTATTTTCAAAACTAGAACACGCTTTGCCCCAAACTGAGGTAGCACACAAACACTCAGAGTGGGTCCAATCAACTTATGGACCCATTTAAACTGCTATAATCCTCTTCCTAGGAGTACTAGTTACTGGCTCAGTTTAGATGAGCACAAAGTAAAACAGAATGAGGCACAGTACACATAACAGCCGTACTAAAATCTCATTTGTTTTTCATCGAGTTTTTCTTGTTCATTATTTGCTTAGTAAATGGGGCACTACCCACAATACTGTTAACATCTCACTCAAATGAGAAAAACAAAAATTTGCTTTACCTCTTGGTTTTGAAGTGTCCCCGAAGTACAAGGTGATGACTCTACTGACTTCCCAGGGCAAACAGCCATCTGATTTACTGCATCTTTATTTCTACAATAGATGCAGTTAAAGCACGTGATAAAGCAGCACTGTATTTCTTCAAAAAAGTTTAAGCCTAGCTCCTTTTTCTGCTTTATTTCTGGCAGTCACAAGGCAAACATCAACAGAGAAAACACAAGACACATTCAATAACTGCTAAGGACCGTGCTAAAAAAAAGCACATCAGGCACATCTGCCTCATCAAAATTAAAAATAAAACAGAAATGCTCTTTGTGTAAGAACTTTAAAAATAAACTTTAGCAAAACCCTTAAACAGAACTTACCTGATAAAGATTATTTTTACTTTAGATGGCGCACATTTGATTATTGATGAAGCATTCTGATGAGTCCTTCCATAGAGTATTTGCCCATTTATCTATTCAAAGAAAATAACAATTACATTTCAGAATATTTTATTCTCTTATACTTAAACTAATTTATGAGCCTTAAAGACACATCATTATGTGTCTTTATGCTTGCTAAAACAGCATTTTAAAAACTGTATTGAAATTCTGGACTATGTTGTGTCCTGCTTTCACTCCCTCTCAGATGAACACTGTCACAGTGCTAAAAACGCCCTCCTCTGGTTATACTTAGTTGACTTGGCACACCATCTATTTCCACTTGCCATTGATCGCCTCATGATGGATACAGGGATAAAGCAGAGTCATGGGGAATTCTACCATTAACAAAAAAATGAACTGCCTACAGCCAGTAACAAGATTACTATTTTTCGTTGAATCTCAACTCTGACATAGACATATTACACAGAGGAATCTGAATGCTGGTTCATTTGCAATCTAAAGCTTTGACCCTACAAATCACTGGCTTCATTTGGCAGAGCAGGCTTGCTGAAAACCCTTGAAGATCATGTGATTCAGGTGTGACTGGAGATATTAATGTGAGTTTGCAGAATCAGGCGATAATTTATTCACATTTTATTAATTACATTTGTTCTTGCAAACGCAAAGCTGCAGTGGAGAAGTCCACTCTAAGAATGGGAAAAGGAGTTAAAAATGACAGCTTGGACCTACACAAAGGGAAAATAAGGCAACGCATACAGAAGTAGTACTAACAGATGCAGAGAAGCCGTTAACAGGGAGGTCTGAACAGCAGGCTGAACGTAACAACAACCCTTCAGCTCCCATGCAGGCTGTGTCCGCCAGGCATTGCTATAGGGATACTCGGTTCTTTCATTCACACTGGAAGGGATAATCCAGATGCAGCTGTGCTTGAGGTGATCACATTGCGCTTGTGAAGGACCACGATCAGGACAGCAGCTGGGGATGGGGTACAGCCCACACCGCTGACAGGCAGTGACATGTGAAAACGAAGGGTAAGCTCAGACTCTTCCTCCTTGGAGAGTGCACAGGTTGAGACCATCTCTTAGCATCAGTGTGCGTATTTCTAGTGTGGACGGTAAGTAAGGGATTACTTGAGCGCCGTCTCGGGCCATATGTGTTTCAATGATTTCTGAGGATACTCAACATCTACAGCATTAAGGTTTTAGAAGAAGGACATTCTAACTGACTCAAGAGATCCTTCTAGCAGATAACACGGGACTCCGCAACTTGCAAATCCCTCTATGCAGCTGGGTTAACAGAGTCACAAATTCTTCACCTTTTCTCCCAGTCTGCACCTGCTAGCCTATACAGGTTGCTTTCGCAGGGTCTCCATCAGGCTTTGTTGGATCTCACCCTTCCTTCACTGTGCCTTCTCCCCAGCGCATCCCTGCACACCTCTAAATAGAGTTTTGAAGTTACATGGGGCAGCTCCATGTGAGCAACACATTGTTTACTACTCTGGAGAGAGCGGGAAAAGTTACAGCAAAGAATGCATCTGCAAATGTCATAAGTGAACTGAGACAACATTAAAAAAAAAAAACACTTTATGCTCACATACACAGTGAGCACGTTAGATGTGCACTAAGCTTTAGGGTCTCTTCATGATACCAAGAGAGAGCAGCCTGAATGTGTTATGAAATTAGAATCCATAACATAAATGGAGCTGTTCTTGATTTCATTTTTCTTGATTTTTGTTCTTTTTATTTTCCATTTTATATGGTACACAGCATAAATATATTCTGTACTATCACACTTCCAGTAGACAGAGCTGTAGTTAGAAAGTATGCAGCACTCCACAGATGGACGGGCTGACGGGCTTCAGTGTTTTCTATGGACAATAGTGCGTTCCCCTCCCATACATCTCTACAGTACAAAAACAGCTGTCTTCCCTCATTTTTAGCCATTTAAAATGGATACATACATACAAACACACATGCACACACAAATATACATACACACACACACACACACACACACACACACACACACACACACACACATGTATGAGAAAACAATTCCAACTGCAACACTCTGATATATTTCAGACTGAAAATCTGGTAACACAGTGATTTCAGCTTGGGTAACTTGGCAATTTCAAGGTCATACAGTTCACTGAAGAACATAATATACTGCACCAAGAATCTAGTATTTAATTGCTGTTTTAATCAATATGTTTGAGTTTCAGTACAAATTGCAAAAACTCACCTCTAGTAACTCATCTGCAATCTGTAACCTGCCATCTTTGCCAGCTGCTCCATTTGGATCGATTCCCACTATAAAGACACTCATCCTGGATCGGTCTTTGTTACCAGCAAGACTAAGTCCCAGACCTGTCCTTCCTTTTTCTAGCTCAATCACGTGTAGCTCCCCCGGCAGACTTCCATAGCGCTGCGTGATCTTTTCTAAATGTAAAAGTGTGGGCAGCAGAGGTTGCATTTGCATTAGAAAGTTTCACAAGTAACCTACAGAGCCACGGTCAGCATCCAACATGCATTATTTAACAGCAGAATCCCAAACGGGAGGAGAAATTTTAAGTGTACACCACGCTTTCTTTTCAGTTAAGCCTTAGGTGATTTATAACAGTATTCTTAGTCGCTCGTTTTCCTTCTAGCTATGGAAAATACTGAAGCTTCTCTTAGAAAAAAAAAAATTTACACTGAAAAGCAGTAATTTCCACTGTAATAGCACTCTCAGATAACAGGAAGTATCTTACATCACTGCCACTCATTATCTGGAGCACAGTGAAATTCTTCAAGTAGTCCAACATGTGAAACAGTGAATCTGGACCACTGAGGAGCACAGAGATCAGAGTGCGTTCTGCAGGAGCAAATTAATCTGGTATTTCACCATGTGCATCCGACCAAGCACAGCTGAACGCTGACAGCAATACTTAACACCTAAGCCACGAAGCATATGAAAACAAGCCAGTCCAAAGTGGACCCCCCACATCTTCTGCTATAATGCTATTTCAACATTGAATGTTTCCAACATTGTAACAAAGGATAAACTTACTCCAGCTGTAACCAAACTCGTCCTCTTTCTCCACATCCTCTGGGACTTTGCTGGAAGATGACCGTGCAACATCACAGCTCATTCCTGAAAATGCTGAAGGAGGGGGCAGAGGCAAGTTACAAAATGAAGTCTTTTCTGGCTCTGAATCTGACTGACTGGATGCCTGTGGAGAATAAGAAAAATGCAGTGGCTAAGCACAGGCACACTCTGTGTAGGGCAAACCAGTATACAAAAAATGTCAAAATGGTAATGACTATGGCCTTGAAATTTAAATACCAAGCAACAGGAATTCTAAGTGAAAAACACGGCACAGAAAGGCTGCAAGAGATCAAAGATGGAAACAAGTACTAAGCAAGGTAAAAGACAACTTCACTCCAAAGCGTACTTTGAAGCAAAGAGAACTGACAATGAAAGCCCAATTCAGTAAAGTTTTATGTGCCACTTTACATCTCAAAAGAATCCTCATACGAAGGCTCAAGTAATTCTTTAGTATCATATTTACAGAAGAATTTTATTTTACTTTTAAAAGCTCATAAATGTAATTTCTTCCTGTGATATACTTTGGAAGCCATGTAAGAGGAGAGGGGCAGGAAAAGAATTAGGTACTTTAAATAACTCCTCTAGTCAAGGAGAATAATTGGAGTATTAACTGAAAGAAAACTTAAATACAAAACAAAACCGGTAGCTGACAAAAATCCAAAGTAATGGGACTTTTTTGGTCTTATTTACTGGTTTGCTATATGCTCCATGGGGGAGATCAAATAAACAGAGATAGACAGAGATTCAGCCATAAAGGAGAAAAATACTTTTGGTTTTGATATGCGTGATTTATTCATGTTCACAAAGAGCCAAAAGTGTAAACACATACGAACACTGCAATGTAACGGTTAAATACCTAAATCTAAAGTCTGCCAAGACTCCATTCAGGTCAGTTTCCCTGAGGAAAATGGCAACAAGGACTCGGATCAAGGATTCGACTAACTGTGATTAATTTGTACCATTTTGGCTTGCTCACTACTGTAAGCGAGTAAATATGCAGGCAAGAAACTCATGCCTGAATACCATCATTCTGAAGCTTATCCAAGCCCAGAAGAATTTAGTCCTTGGTGGATCAACTATTGATGTAAACAACATCAACCTCAGACAAAAAACAGACGCATTTTTCAAGGACTAGGATTTTCAGGCATTGTCCTGGCTTCCTAGCAGTTTTATCATCATTTCAGTTTTCAGCACCTCAGTTAGTAAAAGTTTGAATGCAGCGTCTCAGACGGCATCTCTGGGAGCCAAAAACACAGAGACAACTTTCTTTGTCCAAGACAACAGTGAAACAGATAACAACATACACACTGGAAGACTTTAAAGGTAGGTGATGTATCAGAGCAGCTTTCAAGTGAAGGTTTTGAGAGGACTAGAAGTCCACCAATTAAGTCATACTGAGATTAAGGAAGTTGCCACCTCTCAGGGGAAACAAGCTACCTTCAAAGATTTAAAGAAAATGCTAATGTCCTATTTCAGTTCCCTCGTTCTGTTTGTGGTTGAAAAAGATTTTCCTCTCATTCAAAAATTTCCTCTAGGAGCTTAACTAAGGGGTCAATAAATGCCAAATCTGAGGGAAGTGTTAAAATGGCACCCAAGGCAATGGTTTCCATTAAAAACACCATGTAAATGCCACATGAATACTTGTACTGTTTTATCAGCCTTTTCAGTCTGCGCTTCAAACCTAAGACGACGCCTTCTAAGACTTTCCACAGGCATTTCAAATTTTAACCAGAAAGGTCAGAGCACCCAGCTGAGATACCCTGTATCACTCAACTCACATGTAGGAATTAGTCCACCGTTTATGCAAACTATATTCTAAAATATGCTAATAGCCACAGGGTGAATTTTCTATAAACCTAAACTGAAGCAGGGGAACTATAGCAAAGGTATTTTCACCCATCAGAATCAGAGTAGGGTGGAAACCCAGTTCAAGGTGGCTTTCCACAATCAAAAATTCATGTATCCAACACAGAGAAATGGTAGAACATTATCTCAAGGGGGTGTGAAAGGGAGTTAGTTCTAGAAACGCACTGATTTCTCTGACTGCTTCCTAGAGATTTAACTTAAAACTACATAACGTACAGAAAAAAATGAGGAAATACAATGTGTGAGCTGACTAGATTAACAGAGCTTACTGTAGTCTCTGTGTTTTAAAATCAGAATCAATGCATCACTTTAATCATCCTCTTGGTAAGTGAGAAAGTGCGTCCAATAATTTTACATAAAGGGAAAAAAATATATATATATACATATACATATATATATACACACAACCCCCAAAAAAGAAGACAAAAACTTGCTATCAAGGGACTCTGGAATATCTATAAGGTGTGGACATACGGCTACCTCCTGACAGATGATCACTTATGAATCGCAGCGTCAGTGTTTCCTTGATGAAAAAAATGTTTCCCTCTACATCTCTGCACAAACACACATAAATTTGAATGTTTGATGTTTAAGGAAAGGCCGAAATGAGAGTAAAAGCAAGGCTCTTGTGAGAAGCGTAAAAAGAGTGTTATTCACATACAATTCAAATACGTGGGACCACGTTCTGCGTGCAGAGCTCAGTCTGTCGCGGCTGCACTTCTCGCAACAGACGTCAGCTCCCTCCGTTTACACACACATAAGACTTTTGCTTTCTGAATCGGGCCGTGTTCGAAAAAAACTAAACCGTTTTAACTCATCAAATACTTCCAGTGTGCCACGACATAGTATTTCATATTATGCCATTTAAAATGCAAAGCATCAGACAGTGCATGAACTGAATTGGCTGCCAGGGTTGCTCTGGTCACAGCCAAGCAAATACTAAGAATGGCAGCAAACTGGGAGCAGTTCCACCTTCAGCACAGGAGGTACATGTGGAAGAAGGAGCAGTACTTTGGAAGTTATCACACACCATGTACAAACGCACAGCACACAGAGGGTATGACCCACTCACGGGGATCAAGACAAACCTTGAATGGTGTGGGAGCAAAAGGGTTAGTTGGGGAACAACGGAAGGTAACCCTAATTGGATTCGATACCTCCTACAGTAACAGAAAACAGCAATCCATGTATTACAGTACCTTTGGCAACACACAGCGTTACTAATGAGCGACGTGTTTAAATTTTAGATTCGTTTACTAACTGCAGACGATTTATTAACTACATTTACTTAAGGTGTTATTAAGAACGGCGATTCAGCAAAGTATCTTACTGTATATAGGTCTCAGTCCACTCCTGCAGAAGAAGTGGGACAGAAGGCAAAAGGCCATTCTTATCTGAATTTTTAAAAAAACATAACTGTGGAGAAACTGCAAAACACATGAGGCTTGCTCTATCAGAAATACTTTTGAAAATACAGAAAATAAGCCATCATTTATGTTACACTTTATGTTACACTTTTACATTACTCCCTTTCCTCAGAACTGTAAAAAATATGCTTACAGATTTCAAAAACATACATATGACTACGCAGCACACGTCATAAATGTTCTTTTTACATTTGAGACATCTGACATACTACAACACAGAAAAAAATGAGAGAGGGCACAATCACTCCCAAGAGGTACACAGCTAAAAGCTATTGTATTAAATCAGAAATGCATGCACACAAGAATTCAGCCTTTATTCATTATTGAGTTAGAGGTCAATTTCCGAATCTGAATAACATGCAGTAATCACTAACCACAAAAAAAAAAAAAACCAAGGTCTAATATATGTCAGATTTCCGAAGATGTCAGCATCCTGTTCATGGGGTATCAAAAGAATACTCAAGAAGCAAGGGGGAAATATTTTCACCACCGTAAAATGAAAGCTGTCAATCTTTTTTTCTTTTTTTTTCATGCAAAGTAAGAGAAAGCAAATATGGAAAGTCCTAACCTCATAAAAGGAAAATAAAGTACACAGCAGCAAAACACCTCACACTGAGGAGAGATCCTTTACACTCACGTGCATATTTTAACAGTTATCACAGAGACTGATTTTGTAACTGGGCAAACTACTTAGTAGCTCTGATTAGTTCAGACTGAGTGGTTATGATTAATGGAGCTGGTATTTTTTAACTTCTTCAAAACTTTTCTATGCTGGTATGTGATCTGTGTCTTTTCAACTCACTACACCGACTTTCCACCCTCATCAGCAGAATATTTTATCCAAATTTGGTTTAAAAAATACAAGCACAGAGACACACAAATGGTGAAGAAACACATATATAATGCTGGGTGAGTCAAAAGCAGACAGTCTGTCGTCATCAAACCTTGTTAGTGTTGAACTGAGAAGTATCAGCAAACGGGTTAGTGCTGCTGAAGACTGCTGGCCTACAGAAAAGATTGTTCTGCAGGAAAGCCAGGGAGGGGTTCTAAAAGGAAAACATAATAGAAACTAAGCACAAACTTTAGATTAAACCTTTGTGACTTGACTCATGAAACAAACCATATTTGTTTTGCAGTCTGGGCTAAACAAAAAAGATCCACTTCATGCACTTGGCTACAGACACGTGAAGGCAGGCAAAACTGCATTTGCTCTATAGCTGGACCAGCTGAGGTAAACAGAGAGCAGAGAAAAGCACTAACCTTCACACCTGCCCTAGCCCACCAACCATAAAAGCCAGAATTCAGCAGTCTGAACAACCCAAAATTACTTGCTGCGATATTTGCAAAATTTTGTCCAAGCATCTCAGCATACGGGGCACTCTTATGCATTTACGACTACAAAACTGCGGATTCCTGGATCAGAATAAATGTAATAATTCTTAGTGATAATGCAGTACAAATTTAGGTTTAATGTATTTTGAAAACTGCAGGTTAATTCTCATTGTTTGAATTACCTCTTGTGGTGACATACCAGCAGTGCATGTTTCAAAACAGAAGCTTCAGTAATGTTAGACATCTCTGCAACAGACTTAATAACTGACGATACCTTTGATAGATCAGTTTGCATGTGTGAGCATGTGTGTATACTTTACAACTTAAAAAAATAAAACTCTCTGGTCTTTTCCTTAAACAGTACAAAGTACTTGCTTACTATTATTTTGTTATTTTAACACCAAAAGGTTTTCAATATTTAGGAAAAAATAAAGGATATAATTTGAAGTTTCATACTCCTTAGGCAGTTCTTGTAATGTACTCTGTTCTAACATCAGATTTCTTTTCAATAAACTTGTTTACTTGAAAGAAAGAGGGAACAACTCTGATACTGCACAGTGAGTTGGAAAGGCTATCAAATGAATACTTAAAAATAATTTCTATAAAGGGTGCATCCTTCTGGCTTGTTGCCTGACTGTCTCTTTGCTGTAAGCTTAATGCTGCTGAAAGTAAGAGCATAATAAGTAAAAAGAAACGTAACGGCTTGCTGTATCAACCAATAAATTTTAATTGTTGTAACTTAATCCAGATCTATATTGCCGTTTGAAAATGTTCTTAAAGCTCATTTTTTTAAAAACATTCCTGAAAACAGAGGAGGTAGTCTAACCATTTATTCTTATGTTTCATTCTGCAAAACAAAAACTAAGTAATTTGATAAAACAACATGTCTTGGTTCTACAGTACTGAGGAAGTTAAGCTGTGCATGAACAGCCACTCAAAGTCAACAGGCAAAGTGTTCCCTACAATACAACAAGATTTTCTACTTACACATGCAATTCACATTTGACGTTGTCTTGTATAAAGACAGTCTTGGGAAAAGTAATTTATGAGTCAAATGATCCTATTACACTTTAACCACCACATCTGCCAGCTGCATAAAATTTTAAATCGTAACTTGATGAAATGTTATGCAAATAAAAGAAGCATCACAAACATTGTGCATATAAACAGTGAAGTCCTAGTAAGACAGAAAACAGAAGATCAACCATAGCAGTTCAGAATCTTTTCTTTTATGTTTTGACATGATGCCAGAGAACATAAGAGATAACTGTTAGCTCAAATTTCTACCCATGCAACTATATTGTATTAATTTGGACTGTTTAACATTATGAACTGTGAAGCGCTTCAGCTCCCCTTACAGGTATGTTTTATATACTGTGCACAAAGCGTGTTTTCGTGCAGAATCTAGGACAAGCAAAAAAAAAGACTAAAGTAAAGTTTTAGGTTTTTTAAACTAATCTTTGCAAAATAAGAAATAAAATAAAGGGTTGTGGGTTTTTGTTTGTTTGTATTTTTTACTTTTAATGTTTTTTTTACTGATGTGTGTATTTTCCACAAATGTGTTTTGGATTTTCAGAAGCAAGCAAATACTTTGTAAAGCGTAATGCTGTAGTCCTACAGATTGTCTGAGACCATAACCCCAGTGACAGATGAATTCTTACTTAGAAATTAACAGAGCAGTATCAGTACGAAACACAGATTTGATGGATAACTGCTTGCAGGCAAAACTATCGAGCTAGTTTCTCACAGCAACACAGCCTATTTGCATTATCTGGGTCGTTCTGCTGTACACTCAGGCCTGGCTTTACCTACAGCAGCCTGAATGGAGAGAAAAAAAAAAAGGAAAAGAACAGAAAAGAAAAAAAGAAAAGAGAATCTGACTCATTAGCAACATGTCACTTGAAAACAACTACCTTGCTGAGTACACAGCAGTACCATATTACACACAGCTACTGTCTGCAGGCAGCTAGCTGTCTGGGTGACTGCACATGAACGAAGGCAGGAAATTCCTTTAAAGATCTTATTGTAAAGTACAGTTGCAAGTTTCAGAGAATGAAGACAATAAAAATAATGCTGTTTACAAAGATTGCAACACAAAGCATGTGTACATTAAGAGCATTTGCAATGTTTCTGCTTACAGAGGAACAAAGGTTCATTAATAAACAGTCGAGAAACAACCAATAAGCTTAGTAAGTGGAAGAGAGAGAGAATAAAATGCAATCAAAAACAGCAAAGGAGCACTCTCTAAGTAAGAAACATAAGTTGTGATAAAGTAATGGCATCTTTCACATTCCAAACAGTGGCCTAATTATTCAGCAATGGCAATTTTGTTCACATCACAGCAAATGCAAAAGCCATTTCAGCATCTCGAGTCTCAAAAACCAACATTCAACAGAGATTTTTCATGCAACTTTACCTGAGATGACTGACGGTAAAATGGGTTAGTAGGTTTCTGCCCACAGGGAGCAGAAGCTGAAGAAGGGCTATAAAGAGACTCTGGCTGGGGAATAAGAGTTATGAGACAACTAGTAAATAAACATGCAGCTTACACAGACTCTGCAATGAGGAAGTTTAGTTTCAATTGATGCAAGCAACTCTATTAAAGCTCATTAGCTTGTGTCTGCAGTGTCCATGCAGCTTAGTGACGGAAAACTTCCGTGTACTTCTAGGTCCTTTCATTAATGTCCAATGAATATTTTAACAGGTGTTGTGTTTCTGCATGCGCTCCTCAGACATGCTGTCAATCTCTAAAAGTTGATTTTAGTTAGACTCCTACTCTGCCCCCCAACAAATTATCATTCTTGAGGCTTTTCAAAATAGTTTGAGGACGGCGTGCTGGAGGGTAATTCCAGTTCCAAATCGATTTCGTTCTAAATGGAAATAATACTTCAATCAAATGTGTGCTCCTAGAACAGCTGAGATGGAAGTTTGAGGATTAAATATCCCATTCCCAAACACCACCACCTTGAACATTTATTTCATCTATTACTACATATTATGTCTCTTTTCATATTCTTTATGCTTACCCTTGGTCTGCTTATAATGCTTTGTACCATAAAGACTACGGGATTGCCTGCCTTCCGTATGGCTTCCACAGCTTGTTCGTGGCTGGCATCTCTGAGGTCAATCCCATCCACCTGTAATTGGAAGGCCTCATCTTAACATCACAAGAAGTTAACAGTATCGTGAACCAGCTTTGGGTTTTTGATCTGGAAACTTCCACTGAAATCTGAGCCCAAACCACTGTAGCTAGCGGAGGGGTCTCTTACTGACTTGGCCTGAAGTAGAGCAAAGTCCTCACATAGAGGGCTGAGATTTCCAAGAGTGCTCAAAGCACTTCAAACAGTCCCCTTTTATTGCTACAGGATCTAGGATGACTCCCTGCCCAAACCCACTCATGTCAGGTTTTAAATATTCTCGATGGTTTTAAAAACAGGTTACTCGACCGTCTAGGTTCAAGCTCCACACATTTTCCCACAAGAGATACAATTCTAGGAACACAGTGATAGCATTTGCCAAACACTGCTTCAAGTACATCTTTTCTCAGAGTAACCTACCTCCCAGCACTTTATAAGATTTAACAAACTGAAACTTCTAAGTGCTCGAGGATCTTTCAAACGGGGTATTATGTCAGTAAAAAATATTTTTTTCTTTCTTTTGCTTAATAGAAAAGATAAGACCAATTTTAGCTGTGAGACACTTTCCCCAGAGGTGAATTTTTTAGAGCTGAAAAGCTTTCTCTCTTTTTAAAGAATGCATTTACAAAGGATGGCTAAGAACAAATTTTTCACTGGTTGCTTCTCTTTGTGCCTTCCTAAGTAATTTGTGTGTAAAATACTTTCTCTTGCTACAGGTAAGAACCACGTTATAGTGAAGTTAGCATCAGTAAAGCGTTCTCACGGTGACCACGATAAAAGCTAGAAGCTAACACAGGTTATTTGTTAGTGGCAATTTTTGCACCAGAAGCTATATAGAGAGAACTACTTCTGCCTCTTTAACTGTATAATTCTATCTTAGACTTAACCATCCAATGTAAAATAAGGAGAGAAAGAAAACAATCCGAAAGAGAATATTCTAAAGCTAGGAAATGAAGAGTAACGTTACAGTTCTGTGACCTCCCCTGTCTGAAATACTGTGTGCACTAGTACAGAGCAAAACCTAGGTAAGGCACAACTTGAGAAACAGAAACCATCCATTCAGAAACACTCACACAGTATTACTTATTAATTTTGCTCATCCACTTTCACTTCTGCAAGCGCTATTAACAGAGACAACCACTGCATTCATAAAAATTCAGATATTCATTTATAATGAGTATTTCTCATCTTTGTGGCCACTGAGTAGAATTCCATCTCCAGATTTATTATATACTGGAAGCTCTTCCATCCTGACCTAGAAAGAGCTGCATTACTTCAAGGTCTTATATTTGGATCTTCTATTAACAGCAGCTGTATATCACCAGTTTGAATGCCACAGTGTAAAGCCGGCTCACTGTTTTAGAGGAAGACTCACAGTCTCCACCATCCACCTCATTACACTTACACTGGTGGAGTCAGCTAACAACATCCAGGCGGGAGAAGAGGAGCGCAGTTCCTAGCAGCCTGACGCTGGAGATGGGGTAATGCCTGACTTACTGAGGATCACCTTGGGAAAGATACATTCCTTTTAGCACGCTCATTCTCCAATTTCTTTGAACAAGCCAGCCAAAATGGCTGCAAAAGCAGAGAGTTGACTAAACAGCAGATGAGAAACCTGGGCAAACTTTTCCCCGCGACACCATTTGTTTCCACGTCCTCAGTCATGGATACATTCACTCTACTTTCCTGCAACGCCTCCCTCGCCAACCTAGCTATCCACACGTCAGCAGGAAAAAGAAAGATTAATTCCTTAATTCCTGCACACGGTGTGCAAGAATGATGGGACCAGAGTAAGATTGAACAGGGAGACAAGATTGACTTTTTTTTTGCATGATTTCCCAATCCCTGTCCTTTTATGTTGCAATCCAGTATGCACCGGTAGAACTTTTTTAGCTTCACCAAACTAAGCTTTCTCCTGAACATACTGGCTTTACGAGAGAGAGGCAGAGCCACAGGTTTTTTAGACTCCCGCATATACAGACAGCCACCTATACCCCTGAACATATATTCAACATAAAGCTCTCTGCATCTAAGTATCAGCAGATGGTACTACGGTGTTTATGAAACACTGAATGGCTCAAGTGCTGCCAGCTGGAGCAATTACACAGCCATCTCCTCAGGACCGACCATCCATCTTGGTGACTCCTGAGGAGCGAGGGGTGTCGCGAATGAAAGGAAGCAGGCTGGTACCTCCACGATTCGGTCTCCAGTTTTCAGTGTGCCATTTTTGCCTGCTGGGCTGTCTTCTAGGATGTGTTTGATGAAGATCCCCCTCATCACTTCCCCATTACTCAGGCGGCTCCCCATCCCTCGTCCACCAACGATGCTGATCCCCAGTGACTTGCTAGGCTCTCTCCAAAGTTCAACCCTGTCATGACAAAAATGAGATATGAATAAATGACAATCTATTGTCATTATAACAACGTCCTCTCTGGTCTACCTTCTGAAGACCCATCTGTACGTTAAAAATAAAAATAAAAATCAAGAATAACTCCTCCTGTAAGGTTTTTTTGCCTTTTAGTGGGAGTTAATTACTGGGTCTATAATTGTGTCTAATGTCCTTCACTTTATTTTGGCTTCTAATTTAAATTTTGAATCCTTCTCTTCACCTTTTCCTAAGGGATGCCACAGATTTAGTCTACAAACTACCAACGCAATCCAAAAACTGTTAGATTGCAAGGATTTAGGTCAACGACAGTAAAAATCAGCAATGAACTACTCTTGCAGCACACGATTCATAAAAGTGCACTATTTCTGTTGTTCTCTTATTCCTCTTGAAATGTATTAATGGTTTCAAATTTTTTGAATATCTGGAGATTTCACACGTTCACTGCACAAGTCGATCCGCACTTACTTTCTGGGTTGGTTCCAGTTACTAAAAGCTGCATTCTGAAGTTCGCTTTCTTCTCCCTCTCCCTCTTCACGTTCTGGAAGTTCTGCAATCTCCCTGCTACAGAACAGGAACACGCCATCCATTGTTAAAAACCCAAGGAAAACAGTGCATTTCACAACAAAATTTCACATACTGGAACACCTTGCCAGCGTTAGAATTTGTATACTCCCTGTAAATAGCAGTTATGGTACGAACAGACGAGCCCTCTAATCTTCCAGAAGATGTGAGCATATATATTACTAAAAGAGGTTTTCTAGGCAGCAAGGCGAAACCCAGTTTGCAAGTAGTTATACGCATTTAAAATGCTTACCGTGTTTACTCCTTCGTGTTCCCCTTATGCTACAAGAAAGCTTAAAAACTGTTATAGTACAACTGCAAACCATCTGGAGCCAACAGGCATGCAGCGGACTTCTTTACAAGCAAACTGTTAGAATGCATGTTGTACTTGGGAATTCCCCTTCTAGACTTGTCTCTGCAATTAAGGTTTCATCAAGCGACACTTAAAGAATAAATGACTCCACCTTTTGCCTTTTGTTTTCAAAATGGAAGGAATAACAAGCAGTCCTCAAAAGCAGTTAGTGCTTCTGGGGATTAATTTCAGAGGTTTTAAAACAATGCTTATCAAAAACCACCATGTGCATTCTCTGAAAATCAGGTCTCTTTAAAGTAGCCAAAGACCAGATCACCAAAATGGAAGAAAATAAAATTATTAGTCACTTCAAATATCTTGGCCTACAGTCGTAACGAATTTTTGAAACCAAAGGAAAAAAAAGGAAAGCACAGTTCATTCTTTGCAGATACATTCTGGACAGATGACCAATGCTAAATTCTAATGTCGCAAGTACTGAGTATGCGGCATCACACATAAATCATATAGCTTCACTCTTACGAAACTTCTGTGATCTAACTGCCTATTTGATGGAAACAAAATACGATATTATGATACCCTATCAGTATTTTTTTCTAATGTTTTGAGATAACTGTTTTTAAAAAAAAGCCTAGAAGAAATTAATGAAAACTACCTGCACACAGTCTGTATTTGTGATAGAGCGTTTAACTGAGCAAGTAAAAGAAATGAAGTCTATCAACATAGAATTTAGGAGAAATTTAGGAAGAAACAGCAGACCATCTCCTTAATACATAGCTCAAATACCTATGGAATTCGCTAGCCAAAGCAAAAAAGCAATTCTCAACAACTTTCTACTGCGATGGCTGATAGTTTGAAGAAAATTATCCACCTTTCAAATCTTCTAAATGAAAACTTATTTCCCTGAGCAAAACAATCTGAAGTGTATCCGCATATGGAAAAAGTTAAACCAAAGAGACTCATCAGGAGATTATGATAATAAGAGTCTTTTGACCCACCTGACAGTATGTGAAGAAAAAAGATCAAGTGGCACATCTCCCTCTGTCTGTTGTCCTAAGCTGGCTCGATACTCTTCTAAATTTTCTGCTGCTACATAGGTAATACTGCAATAAAACAGAACATGAATGAAGTAACATCAGAAGTGCTGGTCCTGCCTTTGGTAGGTGTGAGGAATGGGTATACGGAAGCCACTAAAGACTACTTCAGACAGCCATTGACTTCAAAACCACCATGCTGGTATCTTGGGAATACGGGATTATATACAACCCGTGTAACTGAGATAAATAAGCATCTATGATCAAATTAGGTAGCTGAACAGCGCACAATTTATTTAGGGTTCGCCAATCCACTTTAGGTAAACGATGCGCGGACAGCGACGGAGCGCAGTAGAGACAGTCCTGCTGAGATACTTCACGCACAGAGAAACACTGAAGGATCTGGGAGGTGTGAAGCACCGTTAGCATCCTACGTGCTGCCTAAAAATGCTTCTGGAAGTCAGTCTGCAGAAGGTTCTGTGGTTTCTAGGGAAGTTTTGAATCTGTTTTAGGTTTTGGTGAAGAACCAAAGAAGAACTCCATGGATTTGGGCACACAAATGTGTTACAGCGCAGCACCTAAGCTTCTGGGAGCAATCCCCTGCCTGTGCTCAGCTCCTCCCTACCACATTATTCTGTACTTCCAGCCAGCTTGGGACAGTCAGACAGTTGTGTTTCACTGGTCAAACGACATGCAGACTCCTGAAGCCCTGGTATAACCTGATCAGGTTTGAACACCAGAAAGAGTAAGCACAGGGGGACAGAGAGAAGGAATAAGAATAAGGAATGAAGAATCTTCCCTAAAAGACTTCCCTTTTGCTGCAAAAGGACATCATGATCAAATTGAGGGCATTTAGATAAAGGAGATGGCCCTACTTTAACCAGGCCTTGTCGTGTCAAAAACCTTCAGTTGTTTGATAAGCAGCTTAGCTAACAGTTCCAAGTCTGCCAAGAAGGAAGGCTGAAGGAAAAAAAAAAAAAAAAAAGAAAAAAAACCTCAATAACCTGGATGCCGTCTCATTCATCACATCACTGAAAGAAATATCAGCCTATTTCCCCACAGAACAGGCAAGGCAAAAAAATACATCTTGACTACTTCACAGGGATGTGGAAGCCATTGAGGATCCCTCAGCTTAGAGGCTGTTCGCTTACTGGAGCCCTTCTCCTGTTCGTCACTCTCTGAAACAGTCAGTGATTCCTTTTCCCATTGGTTTTCTGCTGAATGCAGCAAGTGGCAGAAAGCAGGGCAAATAAACTTTTATACAACACTCCCTAACCAAAACGCTCTACACAAATTATCATAGAGAGCACCTTATTTGTCTCCATCATCCATGTCCAAGCATGTTCCCCACCTCCTTTCATATCTTGAAAAGTGCAGCAGCTGGCTATTAAGTCGGTACAGTCCATACATACTATCACCTGTTTTTCTCTCTCCCTTGAAATCTATTCCCTCTTCGGCCTTGGCCTTTTTCCAAACACAGCAGGGTCATGTATTCAAAGTGCTTTCATTCTGAAATGCTCAAAAGGTAACATACAATAAGGAATACTGAGCCTAAGGTCATTGATTTTTATCTATCTCTCCTGAGGGCATGCCAGCACCAAGGAACACCCAACAGCACAACACACGTACTCTACTAAGCCTAAACAGCGAAACGGAGAGGGGAAAGAGGGGAAAGAATGGAAATTATCATTTTAGAAATAATGTTTGAAAAGTTATTCAGTTTGTGAAAGCAACCACAACTGCTCATCAGCCATCTCCAATTCTGGATGTGTTTAACTACAGCAAAGTGCTAGTATTACGCTCATAAAATTCTCACAGGGACAAATGCTGCTACAGATGCTCCATCCAGTAAGCTTATACAATTCTTGCCATTATGAGAGCCACAAAATGTGCCAATTGCATTTCAGTGAAAGAAAACGCATCATCCATCCAGTTACTTCCGCCTATCCTCAAATTCATCAATTTTCACCCTGTAAAAATAAGTAGGAAATAATACATTTTCCACTGAAAGGCAGCTGCAATAAAGGCACCAGAATTGCATGCAATGTTTCTGCTGGCTGGAACATTTGGACTACATCCTTTATGCTGAACTGTAGCTGGAAGCTGTTGTTTGTAGCACAGAAACAAGAACAGCAGGCTCTTAGACAGGAAACCTATACACCAAGGCTCAAGATTCAGCCCAGATGTAGACAGTAGAGAGTAACTGCTGATTAAGGTAGAGAGTCCAGCACGTTTCAGTTCTCGCCCAGTCCTTCTGTGCAGGGAGCATAAGGCAAACAGGTACTTAGCAGTACTTCCCCCTCACTCATGCAACATTAGCATGAGTGATCAGTTAATGGGGGAGGGAAAGCATATGCTCTCCAACATCTGGGATACCTTGTAGATTAATTATATCAGTAAATAACTGACATTGCGCTAGGGTATTCAAAAGGTATGGCTCAGAGGATGCTCTCAAAAAGCCTTACACGTTACTTAGTAGTAGCTCCCCACAATTCTGTTAGGTAGCTATCTATCTGTTTTGTGCAGTGTACAGAAACTGAGAGGTAAAGCAGTTCACTCTGCTATTTTAAACCTGGTCATCTAAAATTGAGCAACTGAAATAATTAATTTCCACAGATGGATTCAAGTTCAGACTGTATCAGTGGGAGCTATCAAATTTTAGCTCTTCTGAGAATTACATTATTTCTATTCTAGTGTTTTATCTAGCTGCTTAATTTTAAGCACAGGACGTTCCATGCATTTCAGCTCTTTGCTCTCATCTGCAAATAAACATCAATAATGCTTCATCTATTTCACAAATATAATCTAGAATATTTACTTGAATATTGCAAAACATTATTAAAAAAAAAACCCACAAACTAAATCACATGGATTAAACGCATGAAAAGGTGCGTTCTATGTAGGAGTTTATCCGTTTCTTGCTTACTAATTTCCTGAGTTCAGTTAACTGGAAAGGTTTTCCCCAGCTGCTCTTATTCGCTAAGCTACGTCTGACTGATGTGACAGTCAGAATCCCTTTCTCCCCTCTCCTTTGCACATTATTACTGAAATTAAGATGAATACACAAAGCTAACTCTGCTGAAAATTAGTTTTAGGGAGTGTGTTCGGCAGAAATTCATCTTTGCTGAGTGGCTGTCTCTCCTGCTCCGTTTGTTAGGCTGCTTTCTGTGAGACAGAGCAAGATCAGATTGTACTAATGCCCTTGGATTTACCCTGCCTTGGGATTTTGCCTCTGCCAAGAATTTGTTCCCTCTCTAGTATTTGGATATAACCCTCACAGCTATCAAATTTGTCTCTCTTGGCTACCACAGCTCACTTCTTGGTGGTCTCAGTGAGGTCTGCAGACACTTGCCACCACCCTGCCCTGCCCAGCGCACACCCCCAGCCAGACCTTGGTGCCAGGCCCACAACAGCAGGAGCGCGGGCGCGCGGACTGACTGCTGACCTCCTGCTTCGGGGGAAACAACAACCCAGGCACCTGGACCAGTATCTGTTTTAAAATGCTAGAGGGAGGAAAGAAAGAATAAGAGAAGCAAATGCCAGGAAACAGGGAGGAAGACAGAGAAAACAGAGGAAACAAGTAAATGACTGCTTTACCCCAGTGCTGCATTTCTTATCTGCAAAAGAAGCTAAAGGTCAGCAACTTCAAGGGAAAGCATATGCAGAGTTTACATGTTTCCACTCTTTCATAGCTGTTCAGCTTTAAGGAGAAAGTGTTGTTTCCTTTTTTGAGAGATACAAAAACCGCCCCCCCCCAGAGATATGCACTAGCAACGAAAGCAGTGACAATGGAAACACCAAATGGTGTACGTATGAAAACATCTTGTAAACACAACACTGCATGCAGCACAGAGGAACATTTATCACATGCTTGACTGAACAGCCACACAAAAAACCTTGAAACATCCACAAACCAAATAACAAAGTATGTAAAATGTTCAGGACAAATTACTGTCATTAACGCTTAAGGTCTAATTTGAACCTTTTTTATACATGACAAAAGTAAAATGTAAGTGCCACAGAAAATATGACACTGAGATTAATCCAGATATCAGTACATCATACTCATGCCAATTCTAGCAGTGAGCCCTGTACGCACTCACACGTGCTCTGAGCACATCTGGGACAGCTAACATAGACAAAATTAAAAATACAATTTTTTTTTAGAATAGAGGTATTTTCATGCCCGTCTTAGGAAGCATGCTCCAATCTTCAGGTTTAAAGCCACATAGATTTGTAGAAGCATACACATACATACACACACACAGACACACTTTTACACCTATACACACACGCACACACACACAGAATATGTACCTATATCTGGATATATCCCTGACATTACGGATGTCATAAAAGCATGAAATGGTTTTACAGACAAGTTGCAACACAGAGCCATAATGAGTTTTTGAATCACCAATACTCACACATAAAAGAGGGCCTGATCATCAGCAGGTGCTGGAGAAGATCTAGAATGTGAAGCATATGATGCAGCATCTTTTTACAATGGTGTTAACAACTGTCAATGTCTCATGCTGAATGTGCGAGGCATATTTATGTAGTTAAAAGTGTGAGCTGCTGTTTCTTTTTTTGCTTTCTGTTTTTTCTTTTCCTTTTTTTTCTGCCATTCCACCTCCTCTCCACCTACATCTCCCCCAGAAAGCATTTGCACTTTATTAGTGTCTATAGCAGTGATTATTAACAAGCATGTAAAAATGGAATTGCAATAAATCTTGTACTCCTTGATCAGGAATTCATCCCCACACTTTCAGGTTAAGGCAGGTGAATTCTGATTCAGCTCAGTAATTATCTCGCAGATGTTACAAGCAGCTGCTGCTGAACACAAACCCCTGGCTGTTATCGCGGAAATATAAGAACTCCTGGCAAGGTAGAGCGAGAAACGAAACAGAACGCATAAGGCCATACAACTGGATTTCCACACACAAAGCGGGAAAAAATAAAAATTTAAATACATAAATCTGGAACTCAGATTGCTGGTTCTTGAACTATTAAAAATCAAATTTCCTTGAATAAAATAAAACAAAGTCTTATGTAGCAAGTAAAAATGGCTTGAAATTTGCTCAGAAAAAAACGTTCGCTGCTGAATACACAGCTTTGAAATTAAGATACTTTGCCCAAAAACTTCAACTTAACAGCTGAGGCCCTAACCTTGAAGCCCTGTAGGGATAAAGCGGAACACTAATCAAGGTGGCCACATTTGAGTGGTTGTACACCCTTGTTTCCCAAGGATAACGCCACAGAGACTCAATTTTTACTTGTTTGAAAGGCTAGCCCTTAAATCACAGAGGCTTCCTACATGGTGGTGCACCCACGTTAGCTCTGCAGCAGGAGGTTTACATTTTAGCCTTCCGACGCAAATAAGAATCAGAATAGTGCTCCATATCTCCAAATATTCAGATATGGGACATCTCCCCAGACATTTGTATCATAATTTGTTTCTGGGATCTTGTACCGCTCTTGAAATTACAAATCAAAGAGCACTTCAGTTACGCTGACATAATTTTTTACCAAAACTGTGCAGGCCAAAAATTCTGTTGTCGTTCTCGCAAGCTTTGGAAGCTACCATAGGACTTGGTCTTTCAGTTCTTCGAAATCAAGATGGCCTCATTTTGAACTTCTATCACAGGAATGCAATGAAAAATATAAAGTGAAAGCCAAAAATCTTAGTCAGAATTGAATGGCAACTGCCCTTTTCCTATGAGATCTCTCAGAAAGGTGTTGCATTTTCCTGGGACATCTGAATGTTTACGTCTAAGACGAGATTTTGGTCTTCCGGACATGTCCAGAAACAGACTATGCTTACCAAACAAAATTTCTGTTCACATAGCGTACAAACGTAGCAGCTATAAAAGGATAAGCACAAATAATGAACACACCTGTGTTTGTTTACACAACCTTGGCATGAATAGAAGACTCCTCAAAGAAGAATGGTGCTGTTGCATTTGTGTATCTAAGTAGACATACACACACGTGCACACGCACATACCAATTTGATTTCGGTAATGGTAGTGGGAATGATAATACAATTTGAAAGGTGAGAACAATAATCAGTTTCATGTTTTATCATCACTGGCTCATTCACATTTGAGACAGTACTGACAATAATGTAATTTATTATATGCGCATATCCCATCATTTTGAAGAAGCTTGCATTACATCCTAAACATATGACAGCTATGTGGTAGACAATTAAACCTACTACACATAGTGAAGATTCCTTAAACAGCTGATCCAAAAAGCCAGATCTGTTCAAAACTGGAACAGTTTGAGGGGAAGAATGGAATGCTGTGTAGCCCATTTGATTGATAGAAACTATATGATTACCTGACACTTGGACTGAGCTGTTCCTTTTCAAGGCCACCCTCCTAAATAAGTAAAGGCATCTAGTACAGACAGCTCTGGTAATGCCACAAGCAGACCTGACCTAATCCATGTTAACACGGATTTCAGAAAAAAGAGCTAACAGTTTCTTTGACCTGTAAGTTCAGCATTTACGGGTCTGGAATTCTGTCCATTCACTTAGGAACCTGCCATTTCTAGATGGTTCAACATGTTGGCAAAGTCAACTCCACAACTGTAGCAGCTAGAAAAAAAAATCATTTTAAAGGAAAGTTAAAATTCTGTAAGCTGACAGAATTTGAGAAGAAGAATGGATTTTTCAAGCCACCTATTAAATAACACCAATTTTAAGGAGTACTCCAGAGAACATACATTTCTGTACTACAACAACAGCTCCTTCACGTATACTAATAAAAACTTGGAAGTGACTTCACAAAACAGACTATTCCTACTGTTTCTCACAGATGTACTGAAAATTTTATAAATATTATTTTTCTGCATTAACATCATGTGTCATACTTTCTGTCTGGCAGTCAAAGTAAAATCCATTAGTAAGATATCTATCAAATAGAATAAAGAAACTCATTTCAGAAACTCAAATACCTCTCTGAAAGCCTTGCTTTCTTTAGAAGAGTCATACTGTGAATGCAAAACTTTGACTGCAACTCCCTAACAATGGAAAACCTGGACGAGCAGCCTGATTTTGAAAAAATCCAAACAAACCCATTTAAATGCTCACAGTAATCCTATTCCTTCAGTAAAGCCAGTCAAGACGGTAGTGATGAGGATAACTACATGACAACGGCTTTTCTAAAAACATCGAAAGCCTCTCACACAAATGATTTTATCTTTCCAACCCATGAAGCTGTAATGTGACGATGAATTATCCACATGATGCTGTAATTTAAAAGTGAATTTACACTGTAAAAGCAAACAAACAAAATTCTGTTTTAGGAAATTTACAAACAATTTTTAATTAGAAGCTTTTCCCTACCGCAATTCATATTCTAACTTTACCTACCTTATATCTGGTCCAATGAGTGAATGTCTCCTTAGCATAGCCCGAGCTTGTGCATTGGTTAAGTTAGAAGTTGATTCTTCATTAATGGACAGGATACAATCTCCCACACCAATCCGTCCGTCTCGACTTATTGAGCCTCCGTGGATGACGCTGCGGACTATCATTCCTGAGCCATCTTTATTGGAACTTACCGTCATCCCTACAGTGAAATAGGCATGCAACAGACAACAGTTAATCCTCATCTCTAGGAAAGTCAAAATATTCTCTACAGCTCTGAGTCCCAAGAGAGAGAATGTAAGCTGAGGCTCAGAAGGAAAAAGCTAGCCAACCAACTCGTCAGTGTCAGCAAACCTATATGCATCACTCAAGTTCTCCTTGCATTTTCGTCTTCCTAAGAGGAGACAGGAGTTACAAAGCACAGTGAGTTACAAAGCACAGTCACAATACAATTGCCTTGTGCTGTCTAATACATAAGGCTCAATACAAAAAATAAATAAATAAATAAATAAATGCAAGAGCAGTGGAAAATTTAAGCCAAAAAAGCCCAACCAGCTAAACAGAAAAAGAACAAATGGAAGCGAAATTGATTCCAAAACCAGCCAAATTCATCACTCGTCTGGATGTTTCACCACATTTTACTGTGCTTTGTGTGGATTCCATTTAAAAAAACAGAGGGACATGGCCATGGCTAAGAGGATTAAACATCAAAGAAGCATACGCCCAATAACCTAGCTGAACTGCACGTTTTTTGTCCACTGAGGAAGGCCCAAATCAGACCCCACCAGAGACAGCGGTTGCGTTCCCGCTACCCTGGTGGGCCCAGAAGAGCATCCTGACTTCTGCAAGTATCTCATATTGAAGGATACAGAACATTACTTGAGCTACACCGTGACCTACCTGCAGTGCACGATTTCTCTAGGTTTACACACCATTTCACACCACATTCTTTTCTCTAAAGGGAAACAAGACACAAATGCTCATTCCCCCCCACTACTCGTTTTGGTTCCGATTTATTCTTGGTATAGGGTTTCACATGACTCTGTGAAATCTTCTTACATGCATGAGTGCTTACTGTTATTTTCAGGGCAGTTGGTGCTCAGGAAATAAATCTCGATGCCAGCTCTAGGAAAAAGTGTTCTTCCCTAAGCGGGAATAACGGGAAGGTACCTGCAGGGATAGCAGAGTCTTCTCCCCTCAGTATTGTTGCTCTTCTACTGTCTTAATATCCCAAAAGTTATTTTTACTCTTTTCTGTGGAGCGACAAACACAGAAGCTGTCCCTTAGGAACAACATCAAGCAACTGAAGAAAGAGTGCCTTACAGGACAAGATTTCCTAGAGAAAGCAGCAGTGACAACCCCATTTGTGTTCTCCTGGTTTTGCGTGCAGACACCAAGTTAGCAGACCCTACTAGCACAGTTCTGTATCTTCAGACCTTTGTCACGTTCTCCAGACTGTGAATGGAAGGAAGATGATCTCCAAGATGATAGCTACCTACAGCAAGAGCTCCAAGGACATTAATTATGAAAAAATTCTAACCATTTATACACATACATGGCTACAGAAGGGAAAGACTGAACATATTAACTCTATAAACTTGTAGCTTGGAAGACAGACTAGAGAATGTGAACTGGCTGAGTAGTTTTTAGAAAACAGCTCTAACCCCCAGGGTACACAGACTCAGCCAACCCTACAAACATCTGCCTCTGCATCTGTCTGAGAGGAAAAAAAATTGTAACCTTAGAGAACAACAGTAATACTGTGCTTTTTAGGATTCCTTCCAGAAACTGTTGAGCTTTTACTGGTCTTAGCGTCTCACATCCATTTACGGCTGAGATCAGCATAGCTGTCAGGCCATAAAAAGAAGGTGGCCATAACTAGCAAGGAGCTGTCCAATAAGCTTCTTAGACAAAGGAATATACCTGTCTATTTTGGTATGCAGAAGTCATCGTTTAACATTTTGGAAAGAACACAAACCCATCTTCATGATGGTAATTAATATTAAAAAGATCAAATACTATGGAATTATTGAGGACTGGAGATTTATATTTATGATTTGCCATGTAATTATGTCAGCTGTGGTTAGGCTAGCTGCCTAACTTTCATAATCTATAATCCAAATACGGGTATATCAGACTTATGCTACAGGCACACAATGCCACTGGTTTATCCCTTGCTATTAGAGAGAGCATACAATAGAGATATACTGCCTGTCTTCTGCCTCCTAGGTTAGTGGTATTACAATGCTGAGCACATCACAGATGGAAATCGGAGGTGCTGTTCTAAGACAGATGCCTTAATATTGACATTCACATAATCCTTCCAAAAGAGATCTCTCTATGGATGTGCTTGCATAGGTTACTCAATCAGATCTGAATGCAGACATAGCTCTACATCAGATTACAGTTAGCACATACACAGGGGGAAATTTCTTAGGAAACAACTAACCTGTGGTTTAAAACTCCGAGCCGGTGTTTATCGCTTCACGAAGCCAATAACACAGTTTTACTAAGGCTAGCACAGCAGTACTTGAGAAAAGTATGGCCCCACTTTTCTATGGTGACATCTCATTACAAGGCAACTACAACTCTCATGTCACACATTGGACAGCCACAGGTGAAAAATCTAAATGCCACTGCAGAGTCACCAATTTATCGCAGAAAAAGCTGGCGTCTGAATTCCTCTTTTATGTGGGTGCTTGGTGCTCTTACCTTTCTGAATCACACTCGAAAGCTTGCACCTCCAGTTATGGTTGGATTTGAAGAGCTATTGCACACTATGAGTGATGTCATTTAAAAGAAGGAAAAAAAAAACAGTTCTCAACTGCAATAATTGATGCAGCTGCAGCTTTCAACATTATTCACAGCTCTTGATTTAGCTCCTTTTGTAGAAATGAAAGTAAAAAGCAGTGCAGCCATTTGTGTAAACTGGTCACTGTGCCCAAGCAGCACACTGGACCAGAACACAGACTGGAGGAAAAAGTCTACAGTCAAAGCCCAGGAGAAAGCATAATTCACATTCATGGTATGGATGCCCAAGAAGCTATTCTTGCTTTTCACGCTGCTAACGTCTGACAGTTTGCACCTCACCCCAGGCTTGTATTTTTATGCTTTATTGTTATGTGTGTCGTGAAATTCGCTTTGTATGTTCACTGCATTTACAATGCTCATAGCCATATACGAAACACACAGCTCTACTTAGCTAAGAGGTTATTACTAACAAAACTGTTTTAACAAAATCCAAATGCCTGGGACTGCACCATGTCTTGCTTTCTCTGCAGCCTGGCAGTGAGGTCAGTAAAGCCAGTAGTTATCCAAGCAGTCCAAGCATCTGAGCTAAAGACGTTGCCCATTAAAGGGATCAGTGATCTGATTTTCATAAATACTGAGGCACTTAAGGGTACAAACAAAATTCAGTAGCAAGCAACTGAACAGCTAGTTTAGACCCTTTTGAGTAACCTCAGAGAGCAGGATCCTTTGCTATTTACCAACATTTGAAAGTCTAGTCTGTAACTCTTTGACCAAAGTTTGTTTTGTGCCACAGTATGGAACTCCTTGGCTATATCACGCTTTTCCACTGTATTACATAAACTTACAGGCAATAAAAAACAATGTATTTAAAAACATGCTATTAACATTTAGGAGTGACTAAACTCCTCTTCTTTATGGAAAAAAAAGAGGGTATCTCAGCGAGACTGGACACTTTTCTGTTGAAGGTGGTTACAGTTGGATTCATTATCATCACAGTCGAATAGACCAAGAGCAGCAAAGAATGAAATACTAATATTTTGTTACGCTATCTGCGCTAAAATGAAAACGTTCAGTCACTTCTATCAAAACAGGAAACATAGGAGAGAAACAGAAAATCATATCCCTGTAGAGGTTGCAAGAATGTAAGATTAGCTACCTTACCTAGACTTGAATTGCCTTTTGCGATAGTGATAGTCTTCTCATATATGTTTTTAACTGCATTTGGGACTATGGAACTTCTCTCCACAGACACGGGGCAGCTCTTTTCCATTAAAAGCACCTGATCCTGACACAAAGAAAAACAACAGTAGTTCAGAACACCACTGGAAATACAACTAGGCAGCCTGACCTCAGTTCATCCTATCTCATATCAAAGCTAGGAGCATAACTAATGCAGATTCCTTATACAGTCGGTGGAAAACACAGTCCATCATAGGTCAGACTGAACATGTGAGGTTCCTGTTTTCATCCATATGACACAGAAAGTCTGTTGCAAAGTATGGTCTTAATTTAGTGACATCAGTTACACTCTTAATTAGTGGGATGAACTTAAGGCTCTCTGACTCACTCGCCACAGATGTCTGACAATCTGCCAAACTTTAAAAGAAAAAAAAAAAAAGGCTGCAAAAGAATATTAGAAGAAACTACAGCTCTTATAAGAATTCCTTAATAAATCATTCCATAGAAGAAATACAAACACATATCATAGTGTCTGCCATTAGGAAAAATTGTGTTTACACCCTGTAGCATCACAGACTAGTTTGAGAGCTGAACTGCGTGACCTTGTGTGAGCACCAGAACACAAGACATTCACATGAATTCCCCCCTTGGCTTCCTAGTCCTAGTTTCTAGCTATGCGCCTCCCTCCTCTTTATGGCCACGCTTTGGTGGAGTTCAACGATGGAGAAGAAAAGCCTTGCTCTAGCCTCTTGACCTGCCCAGCTGCTGTTCACCAGTGTCTACTGCCGTGAGGAACAAGCAGATTTTTATACCCCCGTATCTCCAGCCTCTGGGAGATCACTATCTTTAAGCTATAAATCATCTCTGAATTCATAGGCTGTGATGTGATTTACCACAGCTGACTCTGACATTTATAATCAAATAACCATTCATGACTGTTAGCCAACGTCAATTTCTGCTGGCGATTTCTACGGTTTGACATAGTCCTTCTCTAGTCAATTTTTTGCTTTTTAAAAAATCTTTACTTTTCCAGTGGGATCCAGTTGCATTGCAGTAGCAAGGTTTGTATTTCGTGCATCTTCTGCTGCTGTCTGAGGTGCAGCCCAAGTCACTGTGTCCTCATTTTCATTTTGGTTGATATCCGAAACATCCAGAGCCAAAAGCTCTTTGTTAGTAAAACCAGTGGCAGTTTCCAAGCTCTTGCCAGCTAGGGACATTTTCTCTCTCACTCTCTGACTCAGATGATCCACACTGCACAGATTCTTGCTGGATACTTGGAAATCAGCCGCAGCGTTTGAGCATTCCTCTCCAACAGCCTGTTAAACAGAGGAGTCAGTAAACAACCAACATTCTTTTCTAGTATAAATTAAATGTGTATGTCACGCTAAAATCTTCAACAGACACTAATTTTACAGAATGTAAATACATCTATTGTCATGGCAGTATCTTCAGTAAACCCCTACAGGCTTTCTACTATAAAATTTACTTGATTCCTCAGACAACCTTTTCCATTTGTACCAGAAACCAATGAGGATAAAATTACTGACAAACATTAGAGGCCAAATTCTAACCTGGTGATTGTCAGCACAACTTCACTAATTTCAGCAAAGCAGTGTCAATCCACTCATTCTCAAACTAGACATAATTCCATTCAGTTATTAAAATTAAAGGGTACAATCATCTTTCTCAGGGAGAAGAAGTCTGTAAGACCAACGTCTTTATTCTAAAAATACATAGGAAGGCAAGGGAAATTTCAAGCAGCCTATGAAATATGAGTACAACCTGACAATCAAGTCAGCTGAGTGAAATATTTAGATATCCCTCTTATACAAGGGAGGAATACAAAAAAATCAGTCAAATCTAAGCAATAATGGAACACGAGGTTTTGAAGTATGACAGCATCAACATACAATGTTGCTCTTACAGAACTTTGACAATTAGTACTTATTGCAAGTTTCACTGATAACGGCTGCAGTACAAAGGTTAAGTCCTTTATACAACATTTGTTTACATTTTCAAGATTCCAAGGTGCCCAACTTCATATATCTTTAAAGGATTCCAAAAATCACCCCGACCAAAAAAAATTAAATAAATAGATAAAAATAAATAAACATTCCCTATCTGAGCTTTCAAAATAACGTTGAAAACATGTAGGCCATTAGCTATCAAGACGATGAATCAAGGACACAGAGGTTCTACATTAATATTGGTGACTTTTCTGCCTAACATACTAAATATAGACAGAAGAATCCCTTACCTATGTCTGTCTTAGCTTTTTGTCTACTGGTCCTATTCACACTTCTATTCCTTTTCCCAAGGACATGTTTCTCCAGTTTTACTCTAAACAAAGGTCTAGCGAAACTCAAGGAGACTCAAAAGCAATTGTTTCTTTCTGCTGCGTGCAAATTAACATTGCAGCTTTCTTAATATGAAGAAGCATCCAAGTACAGACTTAGGACATAGACCCAAGCTAGTCAGTTTCTGTTCAGATGTCAACACAAACACCGCGCTTGTCGCAGTCCCAACACTTCAGTACAACCCAGTAAAAAGAAAGAAGGAAAAAGTGGACAATATAGGGAACTTTTTCTGGAGGAACTTGTCTCCAGACAGTCATCAAAAACTGTTCACCCGTGAACAATTGCTTTAAGTAACTTCTGAGAAGATAATTGAGCAAAGCCTAAAATACCACTAATCTGCATGATGCAATCAATGAAATCATTTCCTACCTTTCAGAGCACAGAATAGCAGGAGTCTAATCTATTTAAACGATTTCATAAGGTTTCAGTAACAGATGGCATGTGTACTTTAACCCTTTTCATGTATCTATTTCCAAATCAGTGAAAACACATTCATTACCAAAATCCAGATCATACTCAAAATTTATTCCATATGCTACTAGATATAAGCAGCAGTATACATCCTTTCTTATTTTTGATTTAAAGAGAGGGG